GAAGCAGCTGGTACTGGCTGCTGTTAGAAGATAATGGGTTAGAGCAGTGATACTCAGACTGAGGCTCACGAGCCGTAAGAGTCTCGTTAATGTGTCTCCTGCAGCTCTTTGCAGCACATAACATAAAAACACAGATTGGATAATAATTTATATCAGTTATTAACCAATCAGGATGCTTTTACTATGTTAACATACTATAGATAAAAAAATAATACTTGGCCATTTTGCTGTGAGAATAATTTATATATATAAAATACAAACTAAATATTTCCCATCATACTGTTTAAATATGAATATATAGTACTATAGTAAATGAAACAATGAATTCACACAATTCTTTTGGGTAATGCTGAACGCTAATTTGGCTCCTAAACCACTGAGGTCTGAGTATCACTGGGCTAGAGGGTCTGACACAATGAGGAAAACAAATTGTTACATTGTAACAAAGAAAAAAACAAATAATATACTGTGGTCAGAGGTCCATCACTTTCTCAAATGCTTTGCTAATGTTAGAGATTGGTTTGATAGAGTATTAGTAGCCAGGAAATTTTAAAGAAGGGAGGTACCAACTGTAGATTTAAAAGTTAGAGAAAGTGCCAAGGGCAAAGGAGTTTTTAACAATGGTTGGAAGATTTACATAATAGGTTATTAGAGAGACAAGGTGGATGAGGTAAGGTCTTTGATTGGACCACCTTCTGTTGGTGAGAGATATTACCTCAGGCACCTAGTCTCTCTAATACCTGGGACCGACATGGATACAACTACACTACATACATAATAGGTTAGGAAGAAGAAAAGACCATATAGTTTTCTTAAGCCACTCATGTCCTGATACAAAGAAGTGACAAGGAGTAAAAAGAAAGGAAGGGAACAAAGAAAGGAGAAACTCATGAATAGGGAGATTATAGGACTTGCCTACACGCAAACTGGAACCAAAACAACAAATCTGGTTTAATTCACACTATTAGTTATTTTGTGCAGTCCCATCTGTGGACACAGAGTATGACTGAACCTATTTTGATTTAGCTTAAGTCAGTACAAAAAATGGACCTAAATTAAAATAATTATTCCAAAACAAATGTCCACCCTCAGACTTGCACCAAAATAATAGTATGAATTAAAACAGATGTTATTTTGGTTCCAGTGTGTGGGTTGACAAGCTCTTAATTGAGAATTAGGGCAAACAAACTGAAAGGGGTAGGCAAAGACAGAACAGAAATTACAGCTCTGCATTCTAAGGTCCACTTTCAGATGTGCGAAGGCAATGATTCTCAGAGTGATCTGCTGAGCTGTTTCTAAATAATGGTCAAATATTTCAGTCGTCAGGGAGCTTTGACTTAGACTTCTAGGATTTTCACATGCTTTAAGGAAAAACACTATATCTGAAACCCACTTTCTGCCCATTATGCAGCTGCTACATGTGTGCCTGAAGTTTCTTTAGTGTCAATTCAACAGCGATGAAATTTATGGATAACCAAGTGTGGTAGGGTAGCGCGCACACACAGGAGGACAAATCCAAACTGCAATTGTCAAAGCATTGGGAAGCTACAGCCAAGGAGAGATTTGGTACTATAAACCGAGTTCGAAGCTTATGAAGAGGAAACAAAACAGCAAAGATACCAGAATTGGTAGAACTAACTGAGCAGCGGTACTCATGAAAGCAAATGCATTTTCAGCCTCTTGCCATGCTACCCTCCTCATATTATTTTGTGACCATACACTAAGTGTTGCAGAGAAAGACAGAGGGGAATGTGTCTACATCATCTTTATCTTCTGACATGATCCACAAAATGGGAAAAAACATACAATTATTGCTTTAGGTGATGAAGATTAAAAAATTTTTTTTGCCAACCTGCATGGTTGACGTTTCCATACAGCTTCCTTATACCAACTTGAAATGATATAGGATGTCATAGGGTCAGATTGATACAACTCTTCTCTGCTTTTTAACCAACACAACTGAGTTAGGAAGGGAGGGTAAGATTCAAAGGAAGGTTGAAAAAAGAAACTTTAGACTGCAGAGGTGTATGACCTCATGTCAAACTGCCTTTTAGTATTTAGTATTTGTATTACCATTGTGCCTCGGAGCCTCAGTCATGGACCATGGCCCCACTGTGCTAAGTGCTGTAGAGACTGAACAAGATGACTGTCCCTACCCCAAAGAGCATCTTGACTTTAAAGAAAGAGTAGATACACTGACCAGAACACTTGTAGTGATGAGAAATCCAATGTCATAGTTTAGTATGTAAACTTAGCACCTGCATAAGACAAGAAAAATTGTCTTTTACACCTACAGCAGAGAATAACAGGCTAAAAACACCGTGGGTTCTTTTTTGCCTTCCTTTGAAGCAGAAGTCCACTGGAGTAAATCTTATGTGCTTATGCCATTTCCCTCTCAGGAACCATCCACTCATTGCACTGATATGTAACAATCCCAGCTAAGTATATTCAAGGTGGTAAATGTCGGTTCAGCTAGGTAACTTCCATAAACATTGAAAGGGGTAATCTCACAACATTCCTGCAGGCACAATTTATTCCAGATAATTAATGCACAAAGCCCATCACTTATCTCAAAGTATCAGTTCAGCAGTGATTTTGGATATAACAAATGTAGGAACATGCCCTCTGTAACAGACTGGAATCTCTCCAGAAAATAATGATGGTTATTTAGCAATGATTGGCTTGTGTTTTCATATACAGATGGCTGAAAAGATTATTTATCAGTGTTAAATGTACAATATCTATGTTTTAAGCTACAGTCAAGTGTATAGAGGAGACAATGAGATTCAAATTAAAGTGCAATGCACAGATTACAAGTTTAGCCTAGACTTGCAAGAGTGCTGTTGCCAACTGCTGTGTTTAATTTGAACTTTATTTTTGGATTCCAAGAAAAACAGAAATTATTCTGCCATATTAATGGAGTACTCTAAGAAAAATGGAGTCCTTGAGATTCTAATTGTAGCTAATAATAGTACTCTCTCAAAATATCAACTAGAAATGGTTATGGAAATAGACCAAAAAGCAGTCGTAATTTAACCCAAGCCATCTCAGAGGAAAGGGAATGTTCTTAGCAAAACCAAGGCTCAGAAGGAGTGGCAAGTTAAACACATCCAAACAGGAAATATTAAAAATACAGAATTTGATTGGCAGCAGGTTGAATCGATTACTCACCTACACCCCAGGCTTCCCCTTCCTCCCTCCCCCCCAAAATACAGGGTTTGGAAAAATAATCAGCAGTGTTTATTTACTAACAATGACATAAAATACATCTTAATATTTTTTTTTATTTCTTTACAAATTAAAAGATGCATTGGAAAAAAAACAAGAGTGAAGAAAATGAAAGGTTCACTTATGATCTTATTTTCCCCCTCTTATATTAATTCTAGAAAGTAGTATTGTGGAAGTCTGTGGTTGCCAAGCATTGTATTCTTGGGAAGCTCTCTCTCCATCGGTTTAAAAAACCCTCTACATTTTTGGTTGGAGGCAGTGTATGGGGTAAAAAATGTCAGCCACATACATACAAAAAATGCTGAAGAATTGTCTGCTGTATTTTAAAGGAGTTTCTTCATTACCGTTCTCATATTCCCCTTTGTGTGTAGTGATACGAGGGAAGACAAACTAGAGGCAGTAGAAGAAAAACAGATTTACACACACTACAGGTCATGAGACTAAAACCACGGCGCCAAGTTTTTTGTTTTAAAACTAAACAGGTCTTCTGCAAAAGGACCCTATTTTGAAAAGCCAAGGCCAACTAAAACATGTCCTCTAACTGCATCCAATCTGTTCACACATTATTCTGCATATTCTCCCATTTTTCCCTCACATCTTCAGTGCTGCTGTCCCCTCACTAAATCCTGGGTATTGTAAGAGCTCTGTCAGTGTTAAAGTAAATTACCCCCCTTTCAAAAATTAATGAACAAGCCCTTAGAATTCTGAATCTGATTTAAACTCATCACTCCCTTTTGCAGGAGTCCTCTCTTCCATCCTTACAGAGTGGAGAGGCAGAGTGGCCAGCCACAAAGTGGATGGGCTAATCTGTCTGAGGTACCTTAGGTTAACAAAACAGGCTTATAAAAGTTTTCTATGCAGATGGATCAGTAGGTGGAATGGGGGGGTATAAACATACAGTGTTGAAAATATTCTTTCCACTATGGCACCTTCCCAACAACTGAAGTCAAGTACTTGGTATTACCTTGTGCAGTGCAGTTTAAACTCTATTCTTGTTCCTTTGCATCCCCTTCCTTGAACTCTGGGGTACAAAGCAGTCTCAATCTTGCACCACTAAAACTCAGATCCTTGCTTATTTGCTGTGATTCAGCCTAGCCTGAACAGAAAACAGCTACCTTGCCACTCAGATCCTGTTCCCTACAGCCCTGTGTCACCTTGCTAAAAATATTTCCTATTTAAACTGAAACATGGAGGCAGTGGGTATGATCACCATGAATAGACCAGCATAGGTAGGCTCTAACAAAAGGAGTGAGTGACATGAGGCCATAGAACATGGAAGGCGTAAGACAACGCTGCACAGAAAAATAAGATGGGGAGGTTGTTTTTCCCAAGGAAGGGAAGGTGGTTGTGGGGGTGCCATTCATGCCAACAGAAGGCTCTTAGTCTACCCCTCTCCCATTCAGCAGCTGTTGACTGTTGCTCACTCACTGTTTAAAATTATTTTATTCTACTACCGTTCTGCACTGCAACTCTTACCACAATAAAATGTGGAGATATGGGAAGGATTTGTCCTGCTAGCCCCTGGCTCACAGCTCAGTTGATGAGTAGTTTGTTTGTTTTTAAATGAAGACTCCTGGGTCCAGAGGGCCACAAGTTGCAGTTTGTGCTCTGCATGTTGTATTTTCCCCTAAACTAGGAAGGAGATGTAAAAAATGCTTAGGTGCTCCAATCCCACCATCTGGGTGGATGGCCTACCTCCTGTTCTCCCCCACCTGGCTCCTCTTCACTCCTGGAGCATGCACGCGCGCACACAAACACACAGCAACGACTAGTAGTTTTGAAGAGTTATCGCTTTTTCACCCAATGCTGAATCATGTACAGTGAACTGAGAAACTACATTCATTACAACAGGATTAGCGAGCATAGGGGGGTAGATTCCTGCCAAGTACAGGAAATAACTTAAAGACAGGTAAAAGACCAGGGTTCGAAGGCCTTTTCTCTGCCCTCGCCAGGAAATTTTGCATCTCTCTCAAATGGGGCTGGGAGAGGTTGAAAGGATATTTGTTTATGCAATGTGTATTAAAAATTACGGAATTGTACAGGTTTCTATGTTGTCCTTCTTGAGGGAGCTGGGCCCATGGATCAGGTGGTTAGCGGAGACCGAAATGTCACTGCTGAAGTCCAGCACCACTCCCTCCTCTAGCTCAGTAGCTGCCGAATCTCCTTGTGCATATGACAGAGGAAGTCCACATATGAAGCCCCCCCACTCATGCTCTTGTCCTCCACCAGAAAGTGTTTGAATAGCATCTCCAATTTATCTTCTTGCTTCACAATTATTAGCTATAGGCAAACAAAAAAGATTTGTGAGTAAGCATCACCTAGTGATCTTAGTACATAAGAAAACATGGAAGTGAGATAAGAAGGTTGAGCAACTAAGAACTCCAGAACAAGAAATCACTGAAGCCACCTACTCAAAACATCTTAATTTCTGTTTCTAAGATTAAACCTCAAGCAAGCTTAGAAGTACTAGAGTGCCCAGGGTTGCCTGTACATTAAAGGGGTTCTAGAAATTCCAGTTTTGGCTGGGTGACCAGCAAAGCAGAGGAATTCTACTCTTAAGCAGTGGTCCAGTGAACAGAGCACAGGACTGGAAGGCCAGGAGACCAGAGTTCCATTTCCAGGTTGGCTACTTTAAGAAGTAACTTAACATTTGGTCTTCAGTTTCCGCATCTGAACACGGGGACAGTGATGTTTAATGACTTCATACAGTATTTTGAGATCTGTGGATGAAATGGACTATATAATCAAAATACAAAAGGAATTTAAGTGTGGCTATACCCAAGTGACTAAATATCCAAAATACAGGAGGAATGTAATATTAAAAAACCCCTTTTCTGTGGTCATGGAATGTTAAGCCAGTCAGTTGTCCAGATGGGCTGAGCATCAGGGCTTTCTAACACAACACCAAGCAACAGCAGGGGTCCTTTAGCCAACTATGTGCGTATGGTCAGGTGTGGTGCAAGGCTGAGGGCAGAGCACCTCGAGCCACCTGACAAGTACATGACTAGCCCAATGTACACCGGCTGTGCTACTAGCATTTGGCTTCCTAATTTTGTATTTCTTGTTTCAGAAAGCCTTTTAAAGGTTTGCTAGGGGAGGAGCAGTAATACATAGAGCCCTGCAAGTCTGTGGATATCCGCTTTATATCTGTGAAAAGAAAAGGAGGACTTGTGGCACACCTTAGAGACTAACCAATTTATTTGAGCATAAGCTTTCGTGAGCTACAGCTCACTTCATCGGATGCATTCAGTGGAAAATACAGTGGGGAGATTTATATACATAGAGAACATGGGTGTTACCATACATACTGTAACGAGAGTGATCACTTAAGATGAGCTATTACCAGCAGGAGAGCGGGAGGGAAAAAAACCTTTTGTAGTGATAATCAAGGTGGGCCATTTCCAGCAGTTGACAAGAACATCTGAGGAACAGTGTGGGGTGCGGGAGGGAATAAACATGGGGAAATAGTTTTACTTTGTGTAATGACCCATCCACTCCCAGTCTTTATTCAAGTTTAAGTTAACTGTATCCAGTTTGCGAATTAATTCCAATTCAGCAGTCTCTCGTTGGAGTCTGTTTTTGAAGTTTTTTTTGTTGAAGAATTGCAACTTTTAGGTCTGTAATCGAGTGACCAAAGAGATTGAAGTGTTCTTCGATGGTCACATAAACACCACCCTATACCGGAAACCTACTGACCGCCATTCCTACCTACATGCCTCCAGCTTTCATCCAGACAACACCACACGATCCATTGTCTACAGCCAACCTCTACGATATAACCGCATTTGCTCTAACCCCTTAGACAAACACCTACAAGATCTCTATCAAGCATTCTTACAACTACAATACCCACCTGCTGAAGTGAAGAAACAGATTGATAGAGCCAGAAGTCACCTACTACAGGACAGGCCCAACGAAGAAAATAACAGAACGCCACTAGCCATCACCTTCAGCCCCCAACTAAAACCTCTCCAACGCATCATCAAGGATCTATAGCCTATCCTGAAGGACGACCCATCATTCTCACAGATCTTGGGAGACAGGCCAGTCCTTGCTTACAGACAGCCCCCAACCTGAAGCAAATATCACCAGCAACCACACACCACACAACAGAACCACTAACTCAGGAACCTATCCTTGCAACAAAGCTTGTTGCCAACTGTGTCCACATATCTCTTCAGGGGACACCATCATAGGGCCTAATAACATCAGCCACACTATCAGAGGCTCGTTCACCTGCACACCCACCAATGTGATATATACCATGATGTGCCAGCAATGCCCCTCTGCCATGTACACTGGTCAAACTGGACAGTCTCTACGTAAAAGAATAAATGGACACAAATCAGAGGTCAAGAATTATAACATTCAAAAACCAGTCAGAGAACACTTCAATCTCTTTGGTCACTCGATTACAGACCTAAAACTATTTCCTCATGTTTATTCCCCCCCGCACCCTCCACTATTCCTCAGACGTTCTTGTCAACTGCTGGAAATGGCCCACCTTGATTATCACTACAAAAGGTTTTTTGTCCCCCAGCTCTCCTGCTGGTGATAGCTCTCCTTAAGTGATCGCTCTCGTTACAGTGTGTATGGTAACACCCATTGTTTCATGTTCTCTATGTAATAAATCTCCCCACTTAATGCATCCGATGAAGTGAGCTGTAGCTCACGAAAGCTTATGCTCAAATAAATTGGTTAGTCGCTAAGGTGCCACAAGTACTCCTTTTCTTTTTGTGAATACAGACTAACACAGCTGCTACTCTGAAACCTTTATATCTGTGGACATCCACATCCATGGATGCGGTTATCTGCAGACCATGTTTGTGGCTCCTGGATGGATACAGATCCAAATTTTATATCTCGAGCCCTGTGACTCAGCGGATAGCCATGGACCATATTTGCAGATCAACGCGGATATAAAATTAGTATCTGCACAGAACTCTAGTAATACAATATGTTTTGCCTCCACCAGAGCCAGAGCAGAAACTGAAATGGAAAGGTTATAAACCCCCTTTTAAAATGAATTATTTAATTTTCCCCTTATGTCTTGCATGGAGTAGTCAGGCACTTCTGCAGCTCCTCATGAGTTCTGATACCCTTACAGCCTAGGACCTAGGGGTGACAGTGGACGAGAAGCTGGGTATGAGCCAGCAGTGTGCCCTTGTTGCCAAGAAGGCCAATGGCATTTTGGGATGTATAAGTAGGGGCATAGCGAGCAGATCGAGGGACGTGATCGTCCCCCTCTATTCGACATTGGTGAGGCCTCATCTGGAGTACTGTGTCCAGTTTTGGGCCCCACACTACAAGAAGGATGTGGATAAATTGGAGAGAGTCCAGCGAAGGGCAACAAGAATGATTAGGGGTCTGGAACACATGACTTATGAGGAGAGGCTGAGGGAACTGGGATTGTTTAGTCTGCAGAAGAGAAGAATGAGGGGGCATTTGATAACTGTTTTCAACTACCTGAGAGGTAGTTCCAGAGAGGATGGTTCTAGACTATTCTCAGTGGTGGAACAGGACAGGACAAGGAGTAATGGTCTCAAGTTGCAGTGGGGGAGATTTAGGTTGGATATTAGGAAAAACTTTTTCACTAGGAGGGTGGTGAAACACTGGAATGCGTTGCCTAAGGAGGTGGTGGAATCTCCTTCCTTAGAAGTTTTTAAGGTCAGGCTTGACAAAGCCCTGGCTGGGATGATTTAATTGGGTATGGGTCCTGCTTTTGAGCAGGGGGTTGGACTAGATGACCTCCTGAGGTCCCTCCAACCCTGATATTCTATGATTCTATGATACAGCAGCGTTGTGAGACCCAATGGCTACTTCCATGTCTTCCTTTCTATTACAAAAGCTAAACTGAGCACCCAGTTTTTACAATAGTACAGAATATAGATTTTAGCAGACTCAAGACTGGAAATCAAACATTGGTAAAGGCACAGGCAGTCTCACTGATGGGGAGAGGCTGTTTAAACTTGCCATTTTCATCTCCCCTCCCAGCTTACCTGGACTGGGCATCTACAAACTTTTCATCTTGAAAATAGGTCAGGATTTCTAGGACAGCTCTTAATTCTTTTCCTTGAGACTTTGAGAGCAGCCCAGCTGCCCCTGGGCTCCGAGTTTCACAGCTGAGCTGGAAGTAGAAGTGATGTCCTGCCTTTGATATACCACTGCTCCAGCAGCAGAGCTTCACAGGAAAATCATTGCTTCACCTCCATGTAACTGATGGGTGGCTTATACCATCACTACCAAATACGGCCTAGTGACTTCCATGGGAATCGAAATAAGTTACTCCATCTGACCCATGAAGCATAATGGTTTTGGTGATGAGGTCCTAGGCATGTTCATTTGAGAGTTCATGTATCGCTAGATCACCACCAAGGCGGTCCAGGCTAATAGTGTCCAGTGCCTATATTCAGAGCCCTGAAAATCCGTGGATATCCGCAGATGATTTTTGTGGATTGCAGTCTGGATTCAGATACAAATTTTATATCTGCACAAGGCTCTACAGCACACACTCGCCCGAAAGAGCGGCTGTCACTCAGCCCTCAGGCTCCAGCTCGGCTCTCTGATTCACACAGCAGCAGCAATAGTCCACTGGGCATTCTGGGAGTTGTAGTTCCCAGCTTGTGCGGACAGAGGAAGTAAGCTACAAGTCCCAGAAGGAAGCGTGACTCTGTGCTCCTGCGCAGTGAGCCAAGTGCAGCTGCATAGGGGTCTCCAAGTCCCCCACTAGGAGGGTGGTGCTGCACACAAGGACTCAAGATTGTAGCCTTCCTGCCCAGAGCAGGGAAGGCAGTATGACAGGGCGGAGCAGGCGGTGGGAAGTCTTGGGGGAAAAAGGGGTAGGGAGGCGCGCAGATGAGGGTTTGGCACAGCCCTGCATCACTTTTGTGCACTGATCTTTGGAGCTGTTAGTAGGGCCTTTCAAATCCATGGACAATTTATGCGGATCATGGATCGGATACAGATGCAAATTTTTCTATCTGCACAGGGCTTTACATATATTGGGACACTGGAAGAAAGTAGAGCCCCAGCCTAATGTCCACAGTAAATGCAGTGAGCCGGAAATGCAAGGTAAGGTTCCAGCAAGACAACAGCTGTTATGCCATAGAACCTCACTGCCAACAGCATGATCATACAGACACGTTAATTTCAAGTAATAGAAGGCTGAGAACGGGTTTGATATTACAGATTATGAGAGTAGGACTGGTGTCACCTGCCCAGGAAAGGCAGTGGAAGGAGATTAAAGAGCCACAACTAGGAGCCAAGTTCTTTACCTTCATGTAGCGGGATCTTTGTGCCTGGAACATGTCAATGATGGATCGCACTCTCTTAGAGAAGGGGTTTTCCAAGACTGGCAAGGTACTCTGGAATGCAAAAGACCAGATCCCCATTACACACACAAAATTACAGTAGTATCAATAACCAGTTTTGCTGCTTTCCTCATCACACACACATTCAAGTCCAGGCTTCCAGGCCAGTCTAGCTACTTGCTAGCCATGAATAGGTGAAGTCATTGGAAAGACAATTTTTAAAACGAGATTGTTCAACAGAGGATAGAAATACAGAACTATTACCCTATTTGCCTGGCACATACTGGCAATGCTCTCCTCACTGAATGGCTTGGTCAGATAAGCTATAAAAATAACTTGCCCAGCTAGGCAAGTGGCTAGAAATCAGACTGAAGGAACTCTGAAAGTGAATAGTTTAGGTATAGCTAGCCTCTTAACTGTCCTTAATGTCACCAGCTAGGTAAAACAACAGAATAACAAGCTAGCCAGAAGGAAGGTCCTGGGTTTAAAGACAGTGAAATGGGCTTGAGGTCTCACCTAGAACACAGCATATGACCACATTATTGGCCATATTGTGACCACGCATGCATGTGTTCTTCCTCTGAGTCCAGATCAACCTCCACCTATTTGTGCTAAAAGGGAGCTCTAACCAGCTCAGAGGCACTGTCTGCCCCAGACTCCAGAGGTCTCTTTGCAGTCCAGGGAAGGAGTGGGCAAGCTAGTTATTGTTCCTCCTCTGGCCCAAACTTACCAGGAAAAGCTAATACAACCCCAGGCACTAGAACTGCACTGCTAAGGAGACAAGGGCCAAAGCACAAGTACAGATTATATACAGATGGCCCTGGGATCTGCCAGATTGGAGGGTGGGAGAACAGGCCCTGCTGTTAGTAAGCCCCTTCCCACACTCCTCAAGCGATGCAGTGGGAGAATCTCTGCAAAAGACTCTTAAGATTTCTAAATAAAAAACATCTCTCACAGTCTCATGCATGTGGCCCTATGCTGGGCTTTGGCCAGCTTTCCCAGACCTGCTTTCGTGAACACGGATATAAGTAGAGTTCTGAAGTTGATGTTCATGCCAGCTAAATCAAATGGATAAAATGTTCTTTCCTATAGGCTATAATGAAAGTGCTCAATGAGATTTTAGGATGACGACCTTCTGAGCTGGATGCTCATTGCTCCAATTATTGGAAGTCCTGCACACATCCTCCTCCTAGACTGCTCCCCACTATCCAGCTCACCAGAGTGCTGCTGATGTGGTTGAAGGATGACACTCCAAAGAGGTTCTGGATCAGGCCCTGCTGCACATTCACTCCTACCCACACGAAGATGTTCAATCCATTCTCTAGGAGGTACAGGTCACCCTTAGAGAGTCGCTCTTCAGAGTTCCGGATTGCCGCTGGTAAGGTGTCGCTGTCAACATCTACTTTGGTCTGTTCAAATATTAAATGCATCGAGCCCCTTGTTAGACATTCTTACTTAGTAATGTTTAGCTCGGAATTAGTAATGTTTCACTGGGAATTACAAATGTTACAGAGCTAGGACTACATGAATGCCCCTAAGTCTTGCGAGCCACACCAATTCCTGCCTTAAGGGATTTTCAGTTTCTCTGACTCATAAGGTACCTGCTCATACATTTCCTTCTTCAAAAAAAGGACATTAAATCATGTACCAATCTGCAATGCTGCACCAATTAGGAACGAATTGCACTATTGGCTATAACATGCTTCCTGCTGAGTATGGTGATATACAGATTAGATACGATTTACTGCTAATGAGAACAGATGGGCCTCATGTCCCTAGCACCAATACTCCGCAATCCCAATACTGACCCCTGGGGTGGGAGTGCATTCTGTAGCTAGTGTAACTCCAGGGGTCTTCCCATTTAATTAAGGAGCAGTGTCAGAAAAATCCCATCCAGTCCTCCTAGGTTGGAAGGATTGTGGCTGTCGTGTAGGATTACAAGAATGCAGCAAGAGGATTTTCCAGACTGCAAAAGAGCACATAGGACCCTACTCACCCATTTCCACAGGGTAGAAGGATTAAAAACCTTGTCAAATCCACAGTTTGTGGTAGTAAACACAACATATATGGTATTAAAAAGGTACCTACTGGATGGCCCATCTCAACTCCTCTCCCATGGGGGGAGGAGAGAAGGTGGAGTCTCTGGAATAAAGACTACTTGTGGTGTGTAACAAGGCCCGAATGTACTCAGAACAGAAGCACTTACCAGAGGCAGAAGTCTGGGGTAAAAGAAAACATTTGTTTCCGCTACATCCATGGAGCTGACTAACTGGCGGATGTAGGCCCGGTCATCAGTGGTGACTTCTGCCCCAGGCTGCAGGACATCACTCTTCAACACACAGTTCAAGTACACAGGAAGCAGCTTCATGCATTCAGGGAGGATCAGCTACAAATGGCAAGATGGTGAATAAAGAGACAGAAGTTAATCAGCCATCTCACTGAATGAGACAGCAGGTAATTTCAATGACCACAAAATAAAAAAGAGGGGCAAACTTAGAAAGGAAATCACAGTGGATCACAGTTACAATTCCTTAGAATTCTGGAGGCCTATTAGTTTTGACGTGTGTGTAGTTCATACAGACAGGAAACACACTTTGGATTATTATGGCATCCTTACTTCTTTAAGGTGTCTGATGCTGAGATTCAGACACCCACCCTGTGGTTCTCTTACATCATAATAGTGCTTGAGAAATACTGTAGTAGCAGAGCCATACAAAGGAAGCTTGCCCAACACTGGAATAAATCTGAAGAGGCTCCACCCAAAACATTTAAAAGACCCATGATTAAACTTGAACATATTGAAGTGTTATGCCATTCAAAGAAACCTAGTACCCAAGGAATGGGATTCCCTGCTATGGAGGCCTCTATTTAAGAGGTCAAGTATCACATAAGTTACCGGTTGCTAAGAATCACAGGGCTCATGATATTCTAAGTTTCTCCCGAGGAGGTGGTGACTGGTGTGCCTCAATGTCAGGGAAGTCTACCTGAGAAGTCACTCTGAACAGAGTTTCTCTTCCAAACTATCTGGTTATATTTCTGCCCCCAGCTGCTAAGTAAAGCACTCCACCCAGATTAAAATGGGACAGGAGGAGTTCCCTCCTCAAGCTGAGCCTCCCAAAGCTGCCATCCAAACCGAAGCACGAGCAGTCACCTGGCCAGCAGAAGAGGGGCTAGCACAGTTTTTTCTGTAACATGCCAGAATCTGTGCACACTGGTTGATCAGCGTGTCTCGCACTGTCTTGACTGGATTATTCAGAACCCCACGATATGCTGCACAGGAAGGCATGAAAAAAAAAAAGTCAGTAGGGAAGTTAAATCATTATTAATGACATTTAACTTATAAAGTGGTCTAAAATCTTTACTGCAGCCATGCGTAGAAACCTAGCGCAACCTCAGATGGTTTACATTATAGAATGAGTTACACTTCATTTTTTTCCTTTGTGGGAAAGAGTGTACACATTCCTACTGGAAACTCAAACAATCCCCATTTACCTTGTTTGAATGCATACTCTCCGTCTCCCCACCCCACACACACCTTCAAGGCCCTACAGCACAGCCAGCCACACTTCTGGGCAAGGACAACTGGCGAGACTCCTTGTAGAGCCTGGCAATGCCATTCCCTAAGGGGCCAGCAGGGGTCACTGTGGAACGCAAGTGACCCTCTCTTCCTCTTGGAGAGGAGAGCACAGATGGCTTCTGCAGTTCCTCAAACCCTATTTAATTTGTATACTTTTAATACACACTGGTTTGGCACTATGAGGATGTTCATCGGTTTAACTACTGTGCCTGGATTTGGGAGCAACTTTGTGTTTTTCTGTGCCTGGAGCAGAAGAACTCAGGAACATTAAAGGGGGGAAAAGCACTTTGGAACCAGGAGTGGATGTATGCAGGTGGCAATAGCTACACACGTATGCATGCCTCCTTTTGTTCAGCCAGTCCACCGACCAGTCTTGGCATCTGACTCAACAGGCAGCAAGGCTGTGCCTTCTGTCTGCCCCCTCCTGTCCAGACAAAGAGTACTATGATCACAACTGTCTATGGGACAGAAAAGACTGGAGGAGCACAAGGATTTGAAAACTCTGACCACCACCTGGCCAAGTCTTTGGTGAAAGAAGGTAAAAAACAAATGCCACTAGCTGTAAAAGAGATCTATAATGTAATAGGAAGACTAGCTCTCTCTCCAAGACAGTTTCTTACCAAACTTAGCCAAGTAATTGATGAGTGTGTCTGTCTCGCAATTCCGGTAGAGGTCAGCAAGTTGCGTGCAACAGTTCAGGGAGAGGTTGTGAATGCGGAGTCGTCGCTGTCCTGCACAGCTTGTGTACAACAGAGCACACTATAAAAGAGACATGTATAGAATGACAGAACAGTTAAATAGAACTCAGTCCTACTACAGTAAGCAAATCAGCAAATCCCATTTTGTTAACATCCAACCCTTTAATCCGAGTGTAACCTCAGTTTAGCTACCTGAGCCTCAGAAAGGGGAGGTGATTTAGGGTTTGGCCTGCTGTACCCTAGAGCTAACCGTCCATCAATCCTTTTGTTGAAAAGCTAGTGGTTTTTCAACCAACATACTATGCCTCTTCCTTCCTATATAAAAGCCTTCATGTGGTGCACTAGAAGGCACTTAACCTATTGAGTCCCTCCCATGTGTGAACTTCCACTATTCCAAACACAGCTAGGATAGCTGGACAGACAATTAAGATGATACTGTTTTAAAGGATTTACGATCAAAGCCAAGAGCACGTGGACAAAGAATAGGGGATAGAAGGCAACAAACAGAAAGAGACTGAACTTCTTTATAGTTCCACATATGGGGGAAAATGACTCTGTAGGGAAGACTGGCTTAGAGAGTCTTGAAAAATGTATTGCCTGGAGGCCTTTGAAGAGGAGGTGGAATGGGAGAAGGACCCAAGGGAAACAGCTGGTTGTGTGGCTTGGGCAGAGAGGAAAGGAACTGCTTGTGAAAGTTTCACCATGAGCCAATGAGGGAGGATGGAAGACTTGTTCTTTCAATACGCCATCAGCATTCAAACTGGAGAGCGCACCCATCAAGTACGGAATCTAGCAGAACCCCTCAGCAATGCAGCCTTATAGGCCAGTGTATGAACAGCTGAGAAAGTTATTTTAATTCCAAAAGAGGGAACCTTATAGCAAGTTACACAGGGGGATGCTGTCACTCCAAAGATCAATGGTCCTGTAACTCCATCTGGAGAAGGTCTGGTTGCATGCCAGCACATTTTTTATAGTTTGAAAGTTCTCACCCTACCCCTTCCCTGCAGACTGTCTTCTGCCTCACCTGAAGAAGCGCCCCACTATCTTCACTCAGTTTGTCATCATGTCTGAATTCCACTGTGATGGTTTTATCACAGTCCAGTCCTGCCAGCTCCACATCTGTTGTGTTGCTCATGTAGAAAGCGCCAAAGAAGTCAGTTGCTCGAATACCTAAAAGAAAAAAAGGACACTCAAAGGTGAACAAGCCACATTTTATAGCAGAGTAGTCTAGCAGGCAGCATTTGGGAAGGTGCGGCAGACCTTGTCTATCAGGGACACTAAGTTACCTTGAGATCTCTTGCTACAGCTTTTCATTCAGTTTTGCCATAATCCCATGGATTTTAGAGCTTTACAAAGGGCAGAGTCCGCAGGCTAACCTTGGTACGTTCCAGGCTTTGTGTGTGTGTCTGACCCTTCCCACTCCCTTCATGTTTACTAGCCAGTTTATTAAGTCTAGGCAATGCAAATACCCACCCGTGCTTGTGCGCACCCTCATCACAGCATCAAATCCCACTTCCTTCTGGACATCTTTGCGCAAGTCATTCAGGAACCGCTCTTGGTCTGTCTCCAGCTAGAACACAAAGCACCAAGTCAGGCCTGACACACCAAAAAAATCTGAATTGCTCTACAGGCTTCAACGCACATAGACCAAAGGTATCTCAAATCCTCCCTTCCCTTTCCCTTCCCCCCAAAGAGCCTTCTCACAGATTTCAACATCCCATTCCCCTAAAAGCCCTAGGGGCCACTTCTTTCAAAAGCTTTCTAGTGAGTAAAAAATATCAGACTAGGATTTTAAAAATCCTAGTCTGTATACATATTATTTCAAAGTGTGTGTAGGGAACCCCACTCCACACAAACTGCTGGTGACCACCGCACCAATGACTGTTAATGAGAGGGATTCAGAAAACCTTTACCACAGAATGCCACAGGGGATACACTAGGTAAGAGGAGCAGAACTCCGGCTAAGAGTTCCTGCAATCCACTGTGATGGAAACAGAAATCTCTGGCCACTGTACCCCACATATAGAGGATTACAGTCAATTTCTGAAGTGCTGAATCCCTGGTATTATTTAATATGAGATTTTCAGGACATGACAGATTTAGGCCCAACTACAGACAAGTTTCATGATGTGAAGCCTGAGACACTGTATACAACACTCATTTCAGAGCACAACACTTGATCCAGCTCATCTTGACAAAAGAAGCCATTAAGTGTTTATTTGGAGACTTGCCAAAAGCCTTTGAAGTTTCCCTCTTCCTTGAGAGCTGCCAGAATATGAACTCATTCCCTATTCCTCCTGTGCCGTTTTCCTTCCAGATTCTCCCCATCTCTCCCACAAACATTACATCCATTTGGAATGAACATCTATTATGAATGAAGCCTAATTTAGCCTCGTCAGTAAGCCTTAGACATACATTTTTACAATGCAGAAACTTCAACGCTCATCTTAAACTGCAGAGCATTCTGATGTTTTAACTTAAAAGCAAAGCTTTCTCCATCTGGTAATTTAAGGAAGATAGCATTCCAACTTGTGCTAGTTCAGGTAAGTGTCTCTATGCAGCCAGCACTGCTGGGAGGTTCTGCCCTGTAGGCAATACACTGGGATGACTGTTATAGGGCTGATAATGGTCTTCACTTTTTATTGGCCTTTTCTTATAGTTAAGAAACAATATAGCACAGGTTTATTTTTGCCCTTGGTACAAATAAGTCAGAAATATAAAGCAAACAAAACAACGTAAATTATAATCTTGAGATTCAAGTATAAGTTAAGATCCTCACTAATGGCCCATATCCCATGAAAGAAAACAGACAACTAAGTGATGGGTTTTGTTCACCTGTACAGAACATGTGCTAGCCTGATCCAAGAAAGCACTTACCTGGAAATAGGCGTACTTATAAATGGAGCCACCTGTCTGGTAAGGAACCACTCCCAGTGTTGCCAAATCCAAATACTGGTTTGGAAAAAGGAACAGATCTACACAGCAGCCCTGGGCCACACAGTCCTTGGCCAAGTTGCTGTAGAAGCTCGTCTGAGGCTGAAACAAAGTCTAGGGAGAAGACAGAGTACAGAGATTGAAAGGGAGTGGGAAAAAAAAGGAATGAGAGACCAATGTAACTGCTACAGACAACATACATATTTCTTCAGGGCATTAAGGTATGTGAGGCACCTTCCCACCTAGGATTAAATAGATACTAGGTGTAAGCCTTCTACAGTGACGGTGCAGAGCTTCTTAGTAATACAATTATCCCCCCCCCTTGGGTTCTGGATTCTAATACTACCCACTTGTGTCTCCAACACAGAAGCATTTTCTGTCCTTATAGTTAACACATACTCCGTTCCATATGGCAACCCAAGGGGAACAGGGCAGCCATTAGATAGAAGATTTTCAGTTAGCTGCTATGGAGACTTTACATCTCTTCTTGATTCCTTCTAGGTTACCACAGAGCAATACAAACTCTCTTCTAAGCAACACATCAATTGTTACCTTTTCCTTATCTGTGTTGATTAGCTTCCTGTCATCTCTGTTCTTCAGCTTCCCTGGGGCCTCTGCAATGGGCAGTGAGGTGTGAAAGATGAAGAGCTTGCCAGCACACTCTGCCGCCTACAGGGGAGGGGATGAAATTGCTTAGGTGAGAAAGAGCTGATGAGGGACAGTGGGTTTCTCAAGAAGAATATCTCTGGGACTATATTAAATGCCTATATCATCACTGTCTAGTTCCTCTATACTAGTTAGATACTTAATCCTTCACTGATGTGACCAAGCAGTTCATGAGCCTACCTGTCTGAGATTAATAGCTCCCATGTTTTGTGGGTGAAACAGAAGTACAGTCATAAGGAATGCAGTGGATTTTGGAAACAGCTTCCTCAGCTTATTATTTTTGAATCACTATCCCATGCCTGAGATCTTTTTAATGGTTAAACTGCCAGCAGGTAAATCCCCCAGTCCTTAGATACCCTATGAGCGGGATACTGAATGGCTTATCTTTGCTTTTCCTCTCAGTGTAAGTGAATATGGATCACAATTCTCACGAACAGGTATCAGCAGTGTTTTCTAGGGAACTCTCACATGATTAGCCAATGGATCAACACATACAGGTTTGAGCTGGGTCAGGTATTGGGATGGAAAATCTTCAGAAATGGTCTAGGTGCTTTGCAAAAGTGATGTTGGCAAGTTAGTGGTGGTGTCCTCTCTGAATCAGAACTAAAGCAACTGCCAGAGCAATTTTTCAGAGGAGACAGAAAACCAAGGTCCTAAACCACTTCCAAGTTCTGATGGCACTTTTTGTAACAATGTGCATATCAACCCCAGGGACCTGACTGAATGTCATCTCAGGCAATTATTCTAAACTACAGTTAGTCCTGCGCAGTTTCAGTTGCACAGGGTATTCTTCACTTTCTATCCTAAACAATTAATTGAGCAGGTTAAAGAGCTGCTAACTTGAACCACACAGGTGCCTGCCTTTCAGTGGTGGGTTAAGCATTCCCCAGTGACTGAATACACACCCGAGGGGAGCAACAACCTCGTTTACGAACAGCTCTGATATTCTCTAAACAGAGGTGCTTCCCCTATAAAAACAGAACTTAACAGAATGAACCAACTCCCCACAACAGCATGTCAACAAACCTTCAGTGCCTCCATTCCTGCCTGAATCACTGGGGCAAAGACAGTTTCTGTTTCTCTTGTGTCCGCAAACATTTCCGGGATCTGGTCCAGCAAACTGCCAGGAAAGAGGGAAAAGGAGATCATCAAAAGGGATTCAAAGCTCACCTTCTAAATCTGCAGCTAGTGACCTTTGGGCCTGAGGTGCATTGTAAATAGTGATTACTAATCCTTCTCTAACCTGCATGCTATTGAGTTTCTTTAAAAAATTGATCTTTAGTCATCTCTCCATCCACTTCCTCTGGCTGCATTTGTCTCCTCAGTGCACATTCTATGGCCCCAACTGATGCTTCTTCTAATAACTTCCTCTTCTCCTTCAAAGTTATGATCTGAGCTTCCTCTTCTTTGTCCCTCAGGAACATCACAGGCAAGACAGTGAGCAAACTAGTTTCTAGCTTAAAGGTTCTATGGTCTTCTGTTCATTCCCCTTCAGTTGCTTCACTGTGCTGCTTTCTAAATTTCTGGGTAATAAGAGTAAGTCCCTGTCCCACTCAGTCCAGCCAAACAGCGCCCATCAAGTACTCAAAGCTTATTAGTTTTATGTAAGCCACTCACTCATCTTTCCCCACAGAATCAATTTAGTCAGCACAGTCACTTCAACTCTCAGCTACGAAGCAGTAACCTCAGATAAACTGACTTTGTGAACTCCGTTATGATCGCCTGCTCTCAGTGACACAGTCTAACAGATTTTTCTCTAAAGAAGCCTCTCTTAAGGTCCCATTTTGCAGCCTCCTGCCAGTTCAGTCACAGTTCTAGCGGAGCAAGCTCAGACAACCCCGAAAATGAAGTGAAGTACAGCTGTATTCCAAGGTGTGCATCAGTTGCCAGTATATCATGTGCTGATTATTGTCTTTCAGCATTTTCTAACAAACTGGCGCATATAAAACTTTGTAGAGGCTATTAGAGTTGCAGCATCCTGGCAACGTAAGGATACCCCCAATCACAGTGCACCTCCCTGTTCTTGCCAGCTCCATTGTGGGCATACTTAACATTAAGTCATACCTAAACACTATTAAATGTATGATTCAGAAATACTATAGCCAAGAATTGTACAACTGGGCATTATCAGAGTTGGATCCTATTTCAACACAGCATGGGTCCATTTGACAAGCCATTTACTGCACATTTCTACCCCAGTCCTTGTTACCTGACAATAACTGTCCTGGACTCGTTCACGTTCACCAGGAAGCCATCAAGCAGCGGCACAAACATATCAGCTACGTCCGACACAACCATCATTTGTGGCTGTGCCAATGAGCTCTTCACATTATAGAAGTGCAACACTTTGTTGTAAGTGACAAAGCCCACCCGAATGGCTGACTCTTCCATGTTGCCTTCCCTGTAAAATAAAGGACACTTACTGCATCACAGGGGTCATTGAAAACACAACTGCTGCAATATTCTGAATCGAATAGAACAAACCAGGACCAGAGAATGGATAACTGTACCATCGTTCCTAGTGGACAGGTATCCACAACCGGTACTAAGTGGCTCCTTTGTTGGGCACAGACTGAATGGCCTTGAAGGCGACCACCCTCAATGCCATCCCTTCAGGACAGGGCTGAGTCACACTGCTGGGCCAGGATACGGAGGCTTGCAATGCCACTTGCCAGGCTCATGCATGCTGTCAACCTTCACTTTTCACCAGCAGTAAAAGCATTCTAAAGGGAGTGTCCCCTCTGAAAAGGCATAGAGGGGTGGCGGCTTTGCTGAGGTTACTGGCTGCAACAGTACAGAACAAAGGAGCTAGTTACCTGGGCAGGTAATCCAGGAGTGACTTCAACTCTTCACAGATCAGCCTCACCAAGCCACTCTTTACAGCATTGTAAGACACATCAATCATGAAAATGAAAGCAGGTGGGTTGGGAAACTTGTTATTCTGTGGGAAGAGGGAAAGAAAAACATTACACCATGCTTAAGAGGAGATCATACAAAGGCTCTGCTACTCAGACAAATTGTCATCTTTAAAACCACAGTGACCTCTATTTAGTAATCAGTCAAGAGCAGAAACTAAGATACTGGCATTTAATTTGCTTCTCCACTCCCACCCAATTAATTTAAAGTATGTCTGAATTCTAGCATCTGACATCACAATCATGCATGGAAGAGCTCTAATGTCAAGCCCTGGAAGGAATGTAGCGTCACTGAGCAACTGAGCAGAAAGACCAGGATTGGTATAAAGGAAGCTCCTATTTACATGGACCAGGCCTGATGGAGCGGGCAGCAGGCAGGCAGGATTTCCCAGAACTCTCATGCTCTAGAAGGCTTTGGAAGCTAGTGTCTTGCACTGGGAACGAAGACCTTCCTCCCACAGAGCTGGGAGTCCTTATTTCTCAGAGCACTGATTCTGCTTTGAAGAGGCACTTCCTTTCTTTGCAGTCTACAATCAGAATGGAAAGTGAAGCACAGGACAGAAGGATCACTGAAGCAACAGGGTAGTGAATGCCTCACTACTGGCATAAATGGAATTTTAAGCTATTAGAAGAGAATGGAGACACAGATTCCTTCCAGGGAGGAAGGGAAGGGAAGGGAAGAAGGAGAAAGAGAGAAAGGACTTTAAGAGGGTGGCAGAACTGGTGGCAAGAATCAGAGAGGAATATGGAGAACAGAGATGCAAGGAGGATGGGATAGAATTAAGCTGGGAAAGAGTGTGGGGAAGGCCTTCTACCCCACAATCCCAGTCAGCTGTTTTGTCTGAAATGTGGAGATGTGTTTGAAGGCTGTGTTGCCAGCTCTCAGTAAAATCAAAAATATGGTCATGGTCACTAAAAAGCTGCAACATTTAGAAAACTATTTTCCTATCCTTTTCAGCAAACAGATGAGTATTTTTAAAATAGAACTCTAATACAAAAAAAAGTGTCTGAAAAATTAGGATACTGTTTAAACTGACAAATGTGTAGAATCTGAAGCAGGTGAGTTTTCCAGACTATTCCAGTGTTTCAAATATGTGATCAGATTTACTGGACTTGTCTCTTTGAAACCCTTTTTACAAAGTGCAATTACTGCCAGTAACTGCTGTAGGGGCTTGCTCTATCGCATTAGTTCCCATCTCTACCTGCTCAATTCCCGATGACTATCAGGCAACAGAAACTTGTCTTCTCTAGCAGATGGCAAGCAACATGCAGCTGCCACTGTGGAGAGATTGCTTGTACTTTCCTAGATATGGTTTTAGTTACTGGTAACAATTACTGATATTATGGGATGTGCGATCTGACTTACTTTACAGTGGAAAGCAAGTATGTAAAATCTAACCTGCTTCAGATGTATAAGGAAATGCCATCAATGGACTTTACCAGCTAGAAAGTCAATCCAGCTGATTCAGCCTCCGCTTAGTTTCTCAAAGGAGATGGGATTTATTTAACATCATAGCACTGCACTAACTGTACATTATTGTACCTTACAGTAGCTGACTGTTGCCAAAAACTCATAGGAGCCCAAAGATAATTCAGGTCGATCATAGAAATCCACTCTCTTGCCGGTATGATCCAAATGCTGGAAGTAGTGAGGAGGCACTAGGGACAAAGACATCAAATTTTACAGACACACAATTTGTCTACAACAGTTAATACTTTGATTGTCAAGAGACAGAAAAAATGGTGACAGCTGCAGTCGGTGTTCAACTACACCAAAGGAAAGCTGGTCAAGTGCTTTGCACTAGTGTGCACATGACCATGACTGGGGAATCTTTACTGGCAGCCTAGGAGCAGCATTAACAGACTCAAGAGCTATGCTCAGTCAGAAATGTCACTACAAAACAGCACCTTGTAACAGAATCTGGGTTACTTCAGAGGATTTCCCCCAAATAAAAGATTGAGTTAAAGGTAAAAGGGGTGCTGACATCAAGTGATTGAAAGAGGACTTTGAGATAAGTTAGAGGTTTAGTGCTCACTGAAGCAGTTAAGGCTCACCAACAGGCTGAGTTCATTTACCATATGCATCTCCATAAGAGGGGAGACAGCCCCACCTTGCTGCACATACAGCCTCAGAGTGCAGAGTCTGCTACAGCAATGCTGCTAGCATGAGAAGGGCAGCTGTTATGATGGGCCGGCACCATTATGGGCAAAGCACTGCTTGTGAAGCAGTCTGCCTAGCCTTTGCTACTCACAGTGTGCCACAAAGGCTGCAACATACATGCAGGGCTAATTGAGCTGCAAATTAAAAAGTTCAGATGCACATCTGTGCCCAAATGCACTTTGGAAGCAGTTGAGCAGGTACCTAATGTGTGTTTGAGGTGGCATATGAGAAGAGAAGAGGTCTCTCCTAACAGACATTAGCTGCAGAATTGTGGAAAGCTCTCTTTTCTTAAGATTCACATGTAAGACACTCCCCTGCACTATTCCTACGGTGACCAGGACAGTGTGTGCAGCATGCAGGACAGAGGTACCTAGCCAAATGGCTGCAGATAATGGAATTTCTTTTTTCTATTTTTATTTAAAAACTATATTGAGTATTTTGAGAATTTTAATGTAGGACAGTTCACTACTGTCAGAAATAAAATTACAAAGACTGACTAAGCAACCTTACTCTGCCCCTTTGAGCATAAGCATGACCACTATTTCTCAAATAATAAGACATGCAATTTGTTTTACAGCCTTAAATACATGTGTTGCATCTTGTAGTTCTATGCACTACTCTGTGCATGCTAGAGTTCATCTAAGTCATTTATATGAGAAGTACACAGTAAATTATACACAATATACTCCAGGTTAAATGGTATCAATTTAGAGTAACAGTGAAGATTAAATAGCTTATATAGGCCATTGCCATTTACAGCTGTTAATTGCCTCGCCACTGAATGGCACTTAAGTAGGCTGCAGTGTTGGTTGAAAAGAAGCTACAGTACATGCTGTTGACTAAATTGTTGAGAGAAGAACATTAATCTATTTAAGCGTAAGTCATAAGAATGTAAGAACGGCCATACTTGGTCAGACCAAAGGTCCATGTAGCCTGTCTTCCAATAGCGGCCAATGCCAGGTGCCCCGGAACGAACAGAACAAGTAATCATCAAGTGATCCATCCTGTCGCCCATTCCCAGCTTCTGGCAAACAGAGGCTAGGGACACCATCCCTGTCAATCCTGGCTAAGAGCCACTGATGGACCTATCCTCCTTGAATTTATCCAATTCTTTTTTGAAACCTGTTATAGTCTTGGCCTTTACAACGTCATCTGGCAAAGAGTTCCACAGGTTGTCAAAAGCATTCTGGACAATGGAAACAGAGTAAGTAAACAAACTAACAAACATAAGATACTATGTGTGTGTTCAATGATGAGAAATGTATATTCTAGTTTGAGAAATAGTAGGTGATCAGTATTGCAAAGCAAACACACAAAGGGTATGGTTCAATTTACTTGTGCAATCTTAACTTTAGCATTTCAGACTTGAGTACTTAACTGTGTGCCTCAATGTACTTTTTATGGAATATTTTGAAGAGTAAAGAATTGCAGCGCAGAAGCCAACAAACTGTGCTCTATGGTTTTCTGTGCCATGAAGACACCTCTAATGAAATTATTTCTTTGCACCTCCTTGAAACGTCTTTCAGATTCTAGAAAGGCGGCTTACCCTCAGTGACACAGCTGCAGAAGCAACACTGGAATCTCCTTCCACCCTCAATGAACTGCATAAAAGGACACATGTAGGCCTTGCACCGATTGCACCGGATAGGACCAGGTTCTCCATGGTCTACCAAATAGGGAGGAACCTGAGGATTAAAAAAAAGACAGGTCACACAGTGGTGGGAGGGGAAGTGTATATAGCCATCAGAGCTTGAAATGTCCTTCTGGTAGACTATGCAGGCCTTAGCATTTTAACAGTTGTGGAGTCCAAGAGTTCAGAATACATTTCATAAATGCCTTATTGTCTCAAGCTCCTAGTGCAGGAGCTCTTCAGTGGGTTGCAGTTGTTAACAGTCAGAAGAATGCAGCGAATAGCAGAAGTGGAGAAAGTTTAAGTGCAGGAAACATTTCCTTAGATGCTTTTGTGCAATTGTGGGAATTCATTTTGTATACCCAGATTAGCTGACTTGTAAGTGTTTGGACTTTGGTCAGTGCTATTCAAAGATAACTTCTTTCCTCACCCCCAAGCTCATGTGCTGATATCTAACAGCCTGCCCTCTGCACTTTACCCCAATGCCCACAGCAGTAACATGACAAGCCTCTTTCTACACCACCCCAGTAACAGTAAGATCAATTACATGAGACTCTCTCAAATGCCTTATTCCCATTTTCTCATAGAAAGTAACTCTAGGGAAACCCACTACCAGAGACAGAAAGGCTTACAACTGCTAGAATTAATTCCACTCCCAAAGGTGTAAATATCAGCCACTTCACTTTATGAAGCACATTTAACCCCTTGAATTCTTTGCGAGAGACTGGGGGAAAATTCTGATTGTGCATCAAGCAACCAAATTTGAATTTAGCTGCTCAAGGACAAGAAAATATGGATGCCTTAATTTTCAGGCTGTAGTCTCATTATCTCAACTAAATTAAACTAAACTATTGTTGCTGCTGTGATTGTCTAACATATTTCGCTGCATTCTGCTTTGGACTACTGGGCCAAATGCACTTATTTTTCGTGAGACTATTACATACTCAGCTTTGTCCCACCTTTAATATAAAATTAAAATACCACTGCCACCACCAATCTGAGAGTCCGCACAGAGATCATTTCAAGTAAACAGTTAAATCAGTATATGTCGGGGATGACGTCCATCTGGTTTGAAACCTAGGTCCCGTCATGCTGAATAGCACTAGTTAAGGCCTCCCCTACTGCTGCATGCTCACTGTGGCTATGCCCACAAATCTTTTGTTCCTGGTTTCTCTTCAAGCCAGTAGAGAATTTCTTGACGGGGCTGGAAACATCTACATTTGGGCCATTCACTCATATCTGCATCAAATCCTGGAGCGTGCCTCGCTGCAGATGGGTGCATGGGCTTACTTTGATTAAGTGCAACGTATCCCAAAAGGCATGTAGTCTAGTGGTTAAAAGTCTATGGCTTGGTCTATACTTTAAATTTAGATTGACGCAGGTACATTGCTCAGCAGTGTAAAAAATGCAAACTCCTGAGCATAGGCACCAACTCCATGGGAGTTTCAGGGCTGGAGCACCCATGGAAAAATAGTAGGTGCTCAGCACCCACCAGCCATAGCTGTTTGGCAGCACTGCGAGGGGTTTGAGGGAGGGCGGAAAGCAGAGAGCGGGCGGCTGTGGGGAAGGGGGTGGAGTGAGAGCAGGGCCTTGGGGCACAGCAGGGGTTGAGCACCCCCAGGCAACAATAAAAGTCAGCACCTATGCCCCTGAGTGCCAGGGCTATGCTGACCTAATCCCCACTGTAGACATGGCTAGGTTGACAGAAGAATGGTGAACCCCTGTTCAGGGAGGTGGGATACCTAGTAACAGAAAAACGCCATTCATCCCTGTAGGATGCATCTACACTACGGCACTATAGCAGCATAGCACAGCACTGGAGCTGTACAGCTGCAGCACCCGTAGTGTAGACAAGCCTTCTTAAACATGTATGTGCATCATCATTGTTTATGGATTTAGTAGTATTTAAGTGTAATACTAAAAACAGCCACTGATGTATGGCTCTCTCCTTTTCCTCCTCATTCATTATCTGTGTAAAGTGGTCTAGAGACAGTGCCAGTTTGTACATTGTAATAACAGGCAAATTGTATCACACTACTGTGTGAACTTAAAACACTGAAGCCATGCAATAAGTGGTTGCTGTTGCCTCGTGAATCTGACATCCATATGCTCAACAGCAACTTCAAGCACAGATGTGATTTTTCTGTAGCTGAGGCTTTAAACAGACAGACATTTTTTACCCATTACAATGTGCCACCTTATTCCAAAGGATATGTTTTCTGACATAAGGGCCAGGATTGTCCTTCACTGCTTTGAGTTCCTGCATAGTGCTTTTCAGCTTTTCAAAACCTCAAACAGTAAGATTCCATCCTAGAAAAGTTAGGGACTCCAGTCACAGTGTATTTGTGAGCAATTCTATTTCATAATGCACCCATAAATCTGCATATCTCTATGAATGTTCTTAATTCAAGCTGTAGTCTGATAATTTTTAATCACTGCTTTCGATGCTCATATGCAAAGAAAACATTCTTGAATTACACACATTGATAAGCATCCTATCTTTTTTAAAGCCAAGCCAGAGTAGGCAGTGTAGCAACTTTCAGAGATTAGCAAATTTAGCCACAGTGGGACAGTCTGATTTCATTAAGAGAACACTTGCAAGCTACAGGCTGCATTCATAGTTCAAAGTGCATCTCACAACTAGAGGTATCCACTGCTTGACTTTCTGGCCTTTAAATTATGCAACTATAGCTGAAAAAGTCAGACCTCCTCTCTCCAATCACGGATCACAGCCTTAACCGACAGCATACCCTCTTGGACTGGTGGCTGAACTCTGCCCTTTCCCGTCCCCCTTCAGCCCCTTGAACAGCTCAGTTCTACTGCTTTACTCAGCCCATTCTCCTCCCCATATCCACATAGTTCTCTAGGCTATACTTCCATTCAGCCCCTCCAACCACCCTCCCTTCTGAAAGTTCAACACTGCTTGTGTCCCGATATCACTCAGCCCACCCACTGCTTCCTCTGGTGGCCTTGTCCAGCAGCCAAGAAATCCAGCGTTTTCTTTGGGCACACAACACTTTGTCCTGTCTTAGGCTTCTGGGCAATTGGGTTCTTCTCAGACTGTGTACTACCAGAAAAAAAGCACACCCCACAGAGCTAAGGAGTGCTCTGAGTGCTGTAAAACACACACAACATACACTATTGCACACCACACATGACTCATTCCTCGAGGATGCAGAGTGCAAAAGTTATTTCCTGGCTGCACAGAGGTGGGAGATCACTGTGCACACTGTGCAGCTCCTCCCTGGGACATGGACTCAGCAATGAGGCTGCACCCAACCCTGTCACAGCGCAAGGACCGGGCCTGCCCCAGAAACACTGCAGGGCCCTGCCTCTCCATGCCAGCTGCACCAGATGTGGGAGAGGCAGGCTCACCAAGGCAGGATCCAAGTGCAGAGGGGCTTAGTGAGGGGCGGGGGGAAACCAGGTGTGGGTTGAGAGGGTTGTGTGTGGGGCTCGGTAGGGTGAGAATCCAGGTGGAGGTGGCTCGTTGGGGTAGTCCAGGGGGAGTGGGGCTTGTCATGGGGGGTTCTGGGTGTGGGAGGGGTGAGGCTCAGGGTATGAGGGGGTCCGGATGCACGGGGGCTGGGAGGATGAGAGAGCAGCTCCCTGTACAGTGATCCCTTCCCCCTGCAGTTGAGGAGCAATGTGTGGAGGAAGCATGCACAGGGAGTGCAGTTTGCAGAGCTTCCTACAGCCAGGGGAGAAATCTGGGGGTGGGGCTGACAGCCCTGGATGCTGTGGAGGGGAAGAGGAAGTCGTACCCTCCCCAGCCCAGCCAGGACTAGCAGCTGTGCCCAGCGCAGGGTAGGAGGCACCAGGCAGGACTGGGAGAGACCCCGGCCCCTGCACCACAGTGATTTATCTCTCTGCCAGCTGCTCTGGGCACCCGAAACATGCTGGTGGGGAGGGTCATATGACCGGTCTTGTGGCTTCCTTTTCCTTCCCCATCACAAAGTCATTTTTCTGCAGGGAAGCAAAGAAATCCGCCGGGGACATAAATTCTGTGCATGCACAGTGATGCAGAATTTGCCCAGCAGTAAATATTATTGCAGTGGTCAAATTCTTCAGTTCTTTCATAGAACATAGCATAGCCCACTCATGCCTAACAATTACTTGACACTATACATTTGTTGAGAACTGATGCTTGCTTAGTCTTCACCCTCTAAACTCTCCTTTCACAAAAATGTAGATTATCTGGTTCCCATAGACAGATATATACTGAAGAAACATGCTGCCAGGAGTTCAGAGTCTCTTAACTGCAGATCCAGGATGTTGCTCTCACCTCATCTGTGGGTAGCGTAGCCAGTGGTTTTATGACAGCAGCTAGGGGAACCTGGGATTGTTTGGCCATGTCTGAGGTGCAAGGAATATTGTAAGATGTGCATCTTATGTAGCGGGGGCTTGTGTTACCTGGAGGGGAGAACAGAGATACAGATCTTTAACAAAGGTTATATTTCTATATTAATTTAAGTATCATGGGCAACATGTGAAGTCATAATGCAGGCTTTCCGGCTCTAAGGTTTGTAGAAATTCCATTTTTAATGCAAACAGCCTCTATGTCCGGCAGTACAGAAAAAGTGACAACTGCAGAATTGGATTCTATAGCTTACAAGGAAATTTATACACTTTTGAAAATGTGGGAGTGATAGTCAGACGTAACGCAGACAGATATAGGGAAATCTTTCCCCTCCTCACCCAACCCCCAGATCAAGCAATGCCTCTCTTTCATGACATTAAACACCATAATTAAGGCTAAGATTTTGTCATGGTTATTTTTAGTAAAAGTCATGGACAGGTCACAGGCAAAAAACAAAAATTAATGGAAGTAGTGACCTATCTGTGACTTTTGCTGCTGTAGCTCCATGGTTCCCCCTCTGCCCATGGCAGCTGCAGGGTGACCATATTTCCCAAAGAGAAAATGGGACACCCCAGCCGCTCGCCCGAGGTGTCCCCCTCCCGTCGCTGGAACCCTGAGGAGGGCCCCCTCAGGAGTCTGTCACCTGTCACTGGAACTATGCAGGGGGCCCTGTCGCTTGTTGCTGCTGTCGCCGGAACCCACTGGGCCCCACTGGCTGTCAACTCCAGAGTCCTGCAGCCCCTGAGGCTGAAGCAGGGAATGTCATGGAGGTCTCTGGAAGTCACGGATTCCGTGACTTCCATGACCTCTGTGACATAAACGTAGCCTTAACCATAATGTATTTCTATTCCTAGACCTCTGTGTTCCCAATGCACCTCACTCCTGATGTGTAACACCCCTACTACTCCAGTATGGGTGCACCTCTCAGTTGTACCCATGAAACATAATTCGAGTGCTCCCACATGTCCGTTCCAACATGGCTTGTGCGTGCCCCAAGTACAGTTGCCAGAATTTTTTCCCTTTGTAATTCCCATTGGGTCAGCTTCAGCGCTCTCTGGTGCCATGTGCTTATAGTGCTGGTATAAAAGGTCCCGCCAACCACATGCCCCTTCAGTTCCTTCTTACCGCCTATGATGGTTGCTAGAACTTCCCATATTGCTCAGGTAATTTCTCCCAGTGGTTTTTTTCTTCTTTTCTAGTGCATATAGTTATTGTAGTTTACTTAATGAGTTCTGGACACCTCCACACTTGGCTGGAGAGACTTGTCCACGCACCGGTACCAGGGTATGCCTCAGCCACCAGGCCTCAAGCCCTGCGCTTCCTGCGGCAAGTCTATATCCTTAAGTGACCCGTAGTGGAGCTGTCTCAAGTGCTTAGGGGAAGATCAGAAAGACTGCTGCCAGATCTGCAGGGACATTAGACCCTGCACCAAGAAAGACCAAGAGGCAAGGCTGAGGGTCCTCCTCATGGACACAGCCTTAAGACCAGCACTGGAGTCGCACTCAGACTTGGCACCAAGCACCTCAGTTTTGGTGCGGAGAGCTCTTCTCACCAGTTGAGAGTCCTGGCACCAATTCTCCTTCCTGGCACCTCAGAGCAGCACTGTAAGCACCCAGAGAAGAATTGTTCCCCAGTGCTGAAAGGAAGCAGGTCAGGGGATCTCGACAGAGTGAGACCTGTGTCAAGCTGTTCTTCCTCTCCGGCACCGCAGCACCCACCTCCGCCAGCCTCAGTACCCCCACAAGCTCCACTAATTCCAGCGCGGAAAGTGTTATCCTCCAGCAGACACTGTACTGGTCCGTTTGTGGTACCTGTTTGTCAACCCTAGAGGCATTTGCGGCTGCTAGAGACCTGCTCACTCTCCCAGTCCCAGAGTCCCTGGAGATTCAGGACTGCACCGCTGGTACCGATGAGCGGCAGAGAGCCATCCTCCAGCTTTCATGTGGCACCACTAGGGGAACCTTGGCTCAGACTTCTCCGTGACACCGTTTGCCAGCACTGAGAGGGTCAGCACTCCCTTGGTCTCCCCACCACAGCCTGTCTTCCCCATCAGTCTAAATTGGGGCCCTACTCTCCCCACTGTCAGGATCACCCGCACTACTCCCTGCACTATTCCTATTCTGCTGTGACCTCAGGTGCTAGGGTGCCCCCAAACACTTGGCCTCCAGGACCATGGGGACTGGCACTCATGCAATGATCTTTTTTGGAACCCATGGGGGGTCCCCCCCCAGGCCAGGGCACCATTTTGAGGTGTTCGTATTCTGTGACCTCGGAAAGTAGGGCACCTCCAGTACCACACTGCGAGACCCCAGACTCCGGTGCTGAGCTCAGGGCCAAACCTGAAGAGGAGGTCCCACAGGTCTCGGAAAGGCAGAGTCCTTTCAACAAGCCTTAGCCTCTTCCTTCTCTTCCCCAGAAGAGGCAGTGGTGGCTATCGTGTTTCCCTACCTCAAGGTGACCAAAAGGCTCACCAGGACTTCTTAAAGCAGGTGGCCTCAAACTTGGCCTTAGGTCTACTAATGAACTATCTGAAATCCACCTTTATACCTGTACAAAGGATAGAGTTCATATGGGTAGTTCTCAACTCCATACGGGAAAGGCCTTACTTCTGCAGGATCGTGTTCCTGTCAGACACATCCGGTCACCACAGTCCAGATGTGCTTGAGCCTGCTAGGCCACATGGCATCATGCACATATGTGGTGCAACACGTGAGGCTATGTCTCAGACCTTTCCAGGTCTGGCTGGCCACTGTATATTCACCTTTGTGATATCATCTGGACATGGTACTCACTGTCCCCCACTAGGGCCTTGATTTGTTGACTTGGTGGTGGAACCAATGCACTGTCTGTGCAGGAGTATCTTTCAAGGCCCCAACCGTTGGTGTCCCTGGTCTCCGATGCCTCAGCGCTGGGTTGGAGAGCCCACCTAGGGTGCCTCAGGACTCAAGGCCTATGGTCCCAAGAAGAGCTCTCTCTTTCCATCAATATCAGGGAAACTCGGGGTAGTCTGCCTACCCCACCAAATGTTCCTGCCCCACATTACAGATAAGGCTGTTTCGGTTCTCATGGACAATACAACTGCCATGTACTACATCAACTGTCAGGGTGGAGCACGTTCTTCCCCGCTACATCAGAAGGCAATCTGACTGTGGAAGTTCTGCATCACACTCCATTTATCTAGGAGAGGGTTACTCATCTTGATGGCAACTAGAAAGGCCACTTTCATGGAAAGGTGTAGTAGAGAACACATAGCCAAAGGTTTGAATAGGGCAGTTGTGAGGAATCAAAGCACTAAAGTGAGGTCCCACAGGGGCGTTGGGGTTCTGGATCTGGGTAGAGGTTGCGCACTCCCTGGAGAAATCTTTTGGTAATTGGGTAAGCAAAGACTGAAACACCGTCCACTTTGTCATGGAATATTGTAATGGCAGCCAGATGTGCTCATACTGAACTCATTAAAAGGCCAGATTTCTTAAGGTAAAGCATGTAGTCCAGGACCAATGGTATGGTTGAGGTGATGGCCTCAATTTGTTTGTTTAGGCACCTCATGTGGAATCTCTTTCATTTGTGAGGTACATAACTCGTGTAGTGGGCCGCCTGTCGTTTAGCAAGATGTCTTCAATGTCCTCCGAACAAGTTACCTCCTCGCCTTGGAACCACTGAGGAGCCAGGCTCTGAGATGGAGCGACTCCAAGTTTGGATGCAGAGTCTGACCTGCTTCCTGAGAAAGGAGATTTGGAAGAAGTGGGAGAAGACATGGAGGCATAAGGACATCCATTGCAGGTATGGGTACCAGGTTTGCCTGGGCCAGGCAGGTACTATCAGAATGACTTTGGCTTGATCGATCCTGATCTTATGCAAGACGCTGGACAGCAATGGGGTGGGAGTGATGGCATACAGGAAGGGTGTATCCTATAGGATGAAAAATGCTCCACCTCTGGATCTTGGCTCCAGACCCACTCCAGAGCAAAAATTTGGGCATTTGCTGTTCTGTTTTGTGGTGAATAAGTCTAGCATGGGAAACCCCCATAGTTGAAAAATGCTCTGGATCACACAGGTGTTGATTTCCCACTAGTGATCGTTAGAGAACCTTGGACTTAATGCCTCAGCTGTGACCTTCTGAGACTTCAGCAGGTAGATGGCGGATATGGTGATGCTGTGTTGGATGCACCATGTCCAGAGCTTTGACCTCCCTACATAGTGAGGAACCGAGGTCACACTCCCTGTTTGCTTATGTGGAACATTTAGGCCACACTGTACGTCACAATCTGTAGGTTTCTGTTTTTGATCAGAGGCATGAAATGTGGACAGGCATTGCAAACTGCGAGCAGTTCAAGTACACTGATGTGGAGTGTTGATTTGGAAAGAGACCATCTTACCTGTACTATAAGGTTGCCTAAGTGGGCACGCCATCCCAGTAGAGGCATCTGTTGTGGTTACCATTTCGGGAGGAAGCTGTAGGAAAGGGACGCCTACGGAGATGTTGCACAGGTGATTCCACCATTGTAGTGAGGCCTTGACCTTTACTGGCATGCTTAGAAGTTTGTTCAAACTGCATTTCTGTGGGGTGTTCACTGTCTTGAGCCAACCCTGCAAGCAGTGCATGTGCACCCTGGTGTGTTTCACCACGTATGTGGTCGACACCATGTGACCTTGTAGTTGGAGGCAGGCTCTGGTGGATATCTGTGGGCTGTGCACTAAGGTATTGATGAGGTTCATTAGAGTGGCGAATCTCTGAGGAGGTAATGATGCTGTTGCTTCTAGAGAATTTAGATGGGCGCCGATTAAGTCCAGTTTCTGACTGGCATTAGTGTGGACTGTTGGAAGTTTATTAGTAGACTGAGACTTGTGAAGAGTGACATTGTCTGTTGCACGACTGTGATGGCTTCTTCCTAAATGAGAGTCTTGATCAGACAATTGTTTAAGTAGGGGGTATATTGTGACCCCATGCTTGCAAAGGAGGGTTGCTGCCACAGCAAGGACATTGGAAAATACCCAGGAGGCTGTGGAAAGGCCAAAGGGTAGTACCGTATATTGGAAATGATTCTGTCCCTGTATGAATTGAAGAAATTTCCTGTGCGTTGGACGTATAGCAATGTGAAAGTGTGTGTCTTGAAGGTCAAGGGCTGCAAATCAATCCCCTTGTTCCAGCGCTGGAATGATTGTAGGTAACATAACCATCCTGAATCGTGTGTTCTGACGAATTTGTTTAGCTTTCTGAGATCAAGGATGGGTGACACCATCCTCCAGATATCTTCTGGGTTAAAAAAAAAAGGGGGGGGAGAATAGAAGCCCTTCCCTCTGATGTACCGAAACTGGCTTTAGCACCTACAGGTGTAGATGATATTCTACTTCCTGTCTCAGGAGGGGTTCACGAGGGGTCCCTGAAGAGGGACGGCATAGCTGATTTTGATGATTTCCAATTCCTGTCTGTCAGAAGTGATAGTTTGCCAAGTTGGATAGAACGCTTTAGACAGTTAGTAAAAGGATGGTTGGTTGGAAGTGGTGTTGGCAGCAAAAGTTGTGGGAGGTTTGTCAAGCACTGGACAAAACCTTCAAATCTGCTGTTTAGATGTTGATTGTTGGGATGTGGTGGATTGGGAAGAGTTTGATCTGCATCTGGTCGGTCTCTGCCTATGTCTCTGGTTAGCGTATTGTCTCAGTTGCTCTGTGTATGGGGCCTGTCTGGGACGCTATAATGTATAATACCTGCCTTGTTGTTTGTTTTGTTGCAGGTATATAAATATTAAGATCTGAGAGTGGTCCTTGAATCTTCCAATCTTCTACCCATTCCCCGGATTGAACAGAATGCATGGCATTTCCTGTTCTGACGGAACGCGAACAAGTCCACCTGGGGAGTCCCCCACCACTGGAAGATTACTCCGACAGCCTCTGGATGGAGCGACCACTCGTGGCAAGATGAGAAGATTCTGCTGAGGCGATCTGCTAACACATTCCTCGCCCCAGGCAGATGTGTGGCTACCAGGTGGATGGCATGCTGCACACAAGTCCCAAAGGCTGAAAACTTCTTGGTAAAGGGCCAACAACCTGGCTTGGTCCTGCCTGTTGATATAATACATTGCGGTGGTATTGTCTGTCAGGACCTGCACCACCATGCCCTTCAGGTGGGACAGGAACATCTCTCAGTCGAGGCAAACCGCTTCAAGCTCCCTGACATTTACGTGATGGTTCCTGAAAATGCACCTCCAGAAGGAAGGCTGTGGTTTGAGCGAAGTCGAGAGCCGCCCCAATTAACTCTATTCATTGCACCAGCCATAAGGTCAAATTTTTAGTTTACCAACAGGCCCAGGTCATGGCAGGTGGAACGTACCAGATCGAGGCTCCACTGCACCAGTTCCTGAGATCTGCCCTTGATGAGCCATGGCGTGCGTATACAAGACCACTGCCTGATCCGGGGAGGAGGACGACTACTGAATTACCAGGGGAGGCCCCAAGAAATCATTCCTCATGGGGGAAGAGGGTTTCGGGGTGGGCGCTTACTCCTCTACCCTGGCCTTCGAGTGCACCTCGCACACTGTGCTCGGTGCTGCCGGTTGCTGCTCTGAGGCGGTGGCAGAGGAGTGGATTGGAGGCATCGGCATCACAGGCACGCCCCACGCGCCCCCATAGGGCTACTGCGCCAGCCACTAGCCTCGCTGCCATGATGGCATCACGGAGGTCGACGCAGCCTCAGGTGCCCAATTGCGCCAATGCTGTCACAGTGAAGGGCTGAATTCCCTTTCCATACTGGAGAAATCACCTTCCGGTGACCACAGAGAGGACGTAGAAGATTGCGTCTGATGGCTAACCATTGCCACGGGAGACCGGTGCCTCGAGTAGATGGATTAGGGACAGGGAGCTCAGTACCATGACGCAGACCGCTCCCATGGTCTACGAAACTGAGATCTGTGCCGAGCAGACAGCCAGTGGAAGGATGATCGGTGCCTTCCTCTAGGTGACCCACGCTGAGAGGGCAGAGACTGCGACAAGAGTGAGACAAGCCAGTGATCTAGGACATCCTGTAGAAGATGGAGACCTGGGGCGTGGAGATGGAAAACGCTGTCTCTATTCCGGAGACCAGCATCATTTGCCTACCCTCAGAGGGGTCTTTACCACTGGCTTGCCTTCACTGTAAGCCTTTGCCATGACCTACGACACGTGGGGCTGGCAGCACTGGTAGAGGCCTCTGCTCTCTGGGCGCCGGGAAAGCCTGTGAAGGCATAGTCCCCGTCACCAATCTGGGTCTCCTAGCACTTTCTGGAGTCAGTGGCGGATGCCTTGGGGAGCGAGGGGGCCCCATTGGGGGTGGAGGGGAGAGGAGGGAGGTCCCTGTGTGGCTCCGGTGTGGGCTGTCGGCCCAAATTGGGTCCTTCGCCCTTCTTGCTCAGTGCTGGGGCATCACCCTTCTTTGAGCTCCTCTCAGACACCAGTGGTGTCGGATGGAGCCCGGTGCCGGGGTGCGCTGTGCGCTGAGGTGCTCAGGGCAGAGTCTAGACAAGAAGGCTCGAATGCCGGGTGGGGAGCAGCCTAGATGAGGAGGGTCCTCAAACAGATGTCTCGCTCTCTCTCAGTTCTGGGACAAAAGTTCTTACAGATGCAACACTTACAGATGCTTCACATGTGTGATTCCCTCAAGCCTTTGAGGCAGCTGCTTGGGGGTCACTGTCAGAGCAGGGCTTAAAACCTTGAGACTGAGGCATGCCCTGCTTGGGGCAAAGTCCCCACTGGGACTCTCTATAACTAGACTACTTAACAACTACTTACTAATTACAAACTATTTACAAGGCCCTAAGGCTCGAAGACTGGAGTAGAAGAACCACTAATCCTTGCTATGCAAGGGAAAGGCGCTTTAACTGATCACCATGGGAGGTGAGAAGGAACTGATGCATGAGCGCAGCACTCAAGAGGGCACCGCAGCTGACCCTACGGATACTGCGAAGGCAAAAAATCTCCAACAGCCGTGCACGTGTGCGCATGCACACCTAGAATGGAATTGACATGAGCGAACACTTGAAGAAAAACTGTTTATTCCTGGCTTTTTAACACACTTTGCTATGTTGGTTCTTATGCCTTCCCCAAGGAAGTGTCAATTGTCTTTACTTGTTGATTAGTTCTAGGTGGCCAAAACATCCACTGGAGTACAAGTTGGGGCTCTACTCATTTCACTTGTGACCTGAAACAGAATTTGAACTCAGGCCTCCACTGGTAAAAAGCTAGTGCCCCTGCACCATAAAGGGAATGCTCCTCAGACTTCTCCATTAAGAATGTCTGATAATAATGTAATTGGATCTTTGGTAATGTGCTTTTTTTTGTGCGGGGGGGGAGGGGAAGGTAAGAGGAGGACTTACGGAGGGAGTGAACAGTATTTTACCTTGATCTTTCACCAGAAAATTGGTAGTAACGAGGGGTGGGACCTGCCCTCTAACTCCAGTGATGAATGGCTCTGATCCGCGGTTATTTCTGTCATCTTCAATTACTTGGATCTAGAATGGAAAGCAGCATGTTAGTCACAGCAGGCTCCATTTCATGGAGGGGGAACACAGAATCTGGAGTTACAGAGCAATCAGACAGGGATTGGGACAAACATTACTAGCTCTAAGAATTGAGAAGCCTAGACCTAGTTTAAGCTTTACCAAGCAGTCAACTCTTATGGTTTCGGAATTGGGAATAAAACAAGAGATGGGTTTATTTCAACAACCACCACCACCACCACAAAAAAAAAAAAAAAAAAAAAAAAGCCACCACATTTTAACCCCCTTCCCAGTTTTCTATTGTTTTAATTATTTTGAAGATTGACATGTTTTACATTTTAAGATCTGATCTGGACTCACAAAGCAAAATTTGGCCCAAGAAAATACTTTCTAACAGTATTCTGCTCTTTACTGCTCCCCAGTATGCTCTGTTGCAACTACAGTCACAGACAGATCTCTCTGGCAGCTTTGTTATAATTTCCAAATATCTTTCAGCTTGCACTTCCTTTTTTGCCTGCCTTTTCTTTCTGAGCTGTTAAGTTCCCAGTATTTTCACAAAGTGAAGCTATTCCACTGTATATCTGATTAGACTGTGACCAAAAGTAATATGAAAACTCAGAAGGAATTTGATCACTTCTACACAGTGCTCTCACTAGTTCATACTTTGAGCTTTTGGGACCGAGGCCAGTCTGCAACTCAGACTGTTACAGATCATTCAAGCTGAGCTCGACAGGATGGTAACAGTGTTAAATCCACTAATTACCGGGACAAACTTGTTTAAAAGAATACATCTAATTAGAGATTATGCATTATGAAGTTCAACAGCACTTTTGGATTAAAAGTATCCAATGAATTCTGCCACAGAATGGGAGACTATAGAAAGAGAATTGAGCCCTTTTAACTACCTTTTCAGTACCAATGCCAAATCCATTTTAAGCATTAATCTAGCACTGATCATACTGAACAATCCAATGCCCGCAAATTATATCCCCCAATTTGCAACCTATTTTAACATGCAGAGTGTTACACAGGAGAGTTCTTGTTACCCTTACACAGTACATGTTCTAAACTGTGCAAGTGGAATGCTCAACCACAGAATCAGACTGTGACCATTCCAGGAAAAATCTCTTCTCAAAACTCTACAGATTAACTGAAGTTGGTGTCATCACTGATTAGATACGAGTCATGTGACCAACTTTAGCCAATCACCAGTAAAACAGAAATGATATTGGGGTAATAGAAAATCTAATCCACCATTTTCCTCCAATCCAAAGGTAAATACTTTTCATTTTAAAAAGATTCTCAAGGCACATTTCTAATTTACAAATGTAACATTTTAATTTTTAACAGTGGTGTAGGATCACAGATAATGAAAGAATGTTTATAGCTCCCCATGCCTCAGAGAAAGTCTGCTAAGGGACTCAGACAAGGAATTAATGTCAAAACAAAATGGTTACTTCAAAAGTGAGACAATACATCAAACATTAGCCCAGTATTGGCACCTCAAGAATAAACAGTAATCAAATTCAATTTACACAGGTGGAAAAGACTTCCACTAAGGAACAAACTGTGTGTACTTGTAATGCATATGGTATGCAGAGAGAGTATGTGTAACTACTCATACTGCATTTTTTGTTTCAGAGTAACAGCCGTGTTAGTCTGTATTCGCAAAAAGAAAAGGAGTACTTGTGGCACCTTAGAGACTAACCAATTTATTCGAGCATGAGCTTTCGTGAGCTACATGTAGGTAGGTATTTTGCTTTTAAAGGTCAGGCAGACAATGTGGAGGGGAGACATTCTTCATAATCTGCTTCCAAAGTGCTGTCCACTTTCTATTGCCCCTTATTTCATGACCAGTCCCCATGTGGTGTTTATTTTATTCATTTTGATGAGGTAAGCAGAAAGGGATGGGAAAGAAGGATAAAAGATTAACACTGAAGGGTTAGTAAGGTGAAGCTTATGCCGCAAGCATGCACAGGTGGTCACCAACACAGATGATAGAAGACAGACACCGCACTTACTGGGCTAGGAATTGCATCTGGGTCTATTCTGTGCCTGGGTTTCTGCTGGGGTGGCAGCTCACTGAGATGCTTTTTTTTTTTTTTTTTTTTTAAAGTAACAGAGTGCCACAAAAAGAAAAACAAAGAAAGAGTAATAAAACAAAAAGTAACAGTGTTACTTCTCTCTGCCCGAATTTATAGCACTGGAGTTAGATATATACATTTGTACAATCATGCAACAAGAGGAAAAGAACACATCTGCTTCCATACTACACATTAATCCCAGAATCTGTCTTGCCATTGAACTGTTCTTGGGTTCTGAGCATTATGTTGGCAGAGATAATGGCTCACATGCTTGTTTTGTTAGAATTTGGGGATTTGCGCTTTAAGAACATGCTGCAATGGAGCATGCAATCTCTGTTTCTTGAGATTTAATTTAGTGAAAGAGAAGCAAGCAAAGGTATTAAAATGCCCCCATTCCTTCCAAAAAGCAAGTCCTAAAACACACACAAACATCAAATCGAAAACCAGAAAAGCCTAGGACTTCAATACCGTTAGCTAGATCAGGTGGTAAAGCCGGATTAAAGCCAGGTATAAAATTTAAGAAGTGACTAAAATCACTGCCCTAAAAAAGTTTGTCAGCATCAGAAGCAATTGTGGTCTTTGGAAACACCAACTCAGCAGAATCAGGAAGAGTGGAGGACGAGCCTAAGAGGCTAGTGGTAGGAATTACGAGGGACTGTCATTTCACACTGTTGCTTGTCTGCACTCCCCTGCCTGCTTTTTGGAACCTCCCTTCTGCAGAGGATTAAAATTTGAGAAATAGCTCATCCTTCAACTACCAGTGTCTCCCACGATTCTGCATAGAACGTTCTTGGCAACAGAGTTAACTAGCTGCTTTGAAGTTACATCTAGCGGAACAGGAAAGACGACACATTTATGGCCCATACGTTAAACAAAATATCAGCAGAGCTGGATTAACTGCTATGGTGTTATATATTCAATCAGTTCCTGTCATGATTGAGTAATAGTACACCTATAACGAATGGCCCACCATACTATAAACAAGCTCTTCAGGCCTCCTCAAATTGAGCGTTCATTGGTTTCTAACTCAATTGTTTATATCCTTCTTAGAAGCTGGATAATCTCAATGTCAGATAAAATTAATGCAGTTTTGGGACCTGTGTCAGTCAGTCAACTGTTTCAGACAGAGAACTTATTTTGTCCTATCAGTGAAGTGGGAGGTTTTCAAAATTCAGGTGACCATCCCCACAGGACATCTGATCATTTTTAAGGCAGGTCATGTGTTGTGCCTAAACCAGCAGATGTAGACCCTTTCGAAAAGCAACTAACAAACATCAGCACACAATGATCAAATTCTGTCCGGGGGAGTGACAATATGCACTACTTTGATAAATCAATGTGCACTTGAAATACCCCCATACTTCTGCTTTTGGGTCTGAGGCAGGTAAGTATCCCATTTTTACAGACAGAGAAACAAAGGGAGAGAGAGGCTCAGTAATGTGTTCAAGACCACACACGGAATCAATGACAGAGTTGGGAAGGGAACTCAGATGGCCTACACCCAGTTCCATGCTCTAATCACTAGATAATACTGTTTCTGGTAAATCAGAGGTTATATTCCCAGAACCTCCATTCATGGGCAGAAGTATGAAGAACAAAGCCAACAGATAGAGCATTGGGACCAGTTTTTGGCACCCGTCAGTTTGATTTATAAGAAGATGTTTTATGTGGAAGTTCACGTTGGTGAGAACTGAATTAACTTACAGGGCTAGGAATGGAGTCCGGATCCAAGCGTTTTGGCGGGGGAGGTGGTGCAGGTTGACTCCCATAATTTGATGTTCCTGGATAAGCACCGCCATAGTTTGATTGTGGGCCCCTAACCTGTCCAAAGGAACCTGAAAATGAGACAACAGAATGAAAGCATAACTAATTGTTCTGTATTTGTACAGCGCCTTGCACAACGGGGTCCTGGGTCTATTACTAGGGCTCCCTGGAGCTACTTTAATACAAATACTACTAAACACTTCCTTTCTTAACCAGTTATTCTAGTCACCTTAATCCAAAAATGGACAGCTACCTGCCCTTTAAGTAATTAGGATTGAAGAGATTTACCCAAATTCTTCAATTGTAACCTGTCTCTCTATCAGAGTAGTCCAGATTTAATGGTGATTTAAGTAATCCATTTTTGGAACCTGTTTCAGAAATGGGAAGAACTGGTCCTTTAAGACAGTAGGCAATGGGTTAGATCTGCATTAAAGCCTCTATGAAAACACAGGCTATGCTGCAGATCTGGCTAATATAAACTATGACCAAAGCAGTCCAGTACCCCATACTGCACCAACAAAATAAAGAAATACTGATAGAAGCGTGTCAGACAGCTTTTGTGTTGCCCGAGATTAGCACAGATTAAAATTCTGCTATTCTAATTTGTTTAGTTTTTAAATTGCATATATTTATTTCATTTTGCTTTATACTTCATTAATGGAAATTCCTGGGGTGGTACACGGTTGTTTCGGCTGCAAAAGACACAGAAGGCAGTATATAGGTAGATAGCTAAGTACCTGCTACTGTTCTCTTACAAAATGGATAGTTCTGCCCAGCAGTGTCTTAAACACTTAGGCCATGTCTATACTACCACTTCCATTGGCAAAATTTAGGTCCCTTGGGAATCTTGAAAAAACTAACCCCTTGAACGACATGTTTCACCAGCATAAGCGGTAGTGTGCACAGCGCTATGTTGGTGGGCAAGCTTCACCCGCTGACAAAGCTACTGCCGCTTGTTGGGGGTGGTTTTATTATGCTGATGGCAGAGCTCTCTCCTGTCAGCATAGAGGTGCTAGACAACTGATCTTATGGCGGCACAGCTGCATCAATACAGCTGTGCCCGCTGTAAGCTCACTAGTGTAGACATAACCTAAGTGACATGGCCAATAACAAAAACTACACTGGGCAGATAGCTTTTAAGAAGTAGGTAATTCACCTAGCCAATTGTAAAATGCTGCAGGGAACTTCTTCCTGATCCTTGCAGCTAGTTATCAACATTAATGGTCACAACCATTCAGCGCTTTCATTCAACAGAAAATGTAATAGATATTAACAAAAAGAAAAGGAGTACTTGTGGCACCTTAGAGACTAACCAATTTATCATGCTCAAATAAATTGGTTAGTCTCTAAGGTGCCACAAGTACTCCTTTTCTTTTTGCGAATACAGACTAACACGGCTGTTTCTATTGACAGGTTTCAGAGTAACAGCCGTGTTAGTCTGTATTCGCAAAAAGAAAAGGAGTACTTGTGGCACCTTAGAGACTAACCAATTTATTTGAGCATGATAAATTGGTTCGTCTCTAAGGTGCCACAAGTACTCCTTTTCTTTTTGCAAATACAGACTAACACGACTGTTACTCTGAAACCTGTCAATAGATATTAATTCATCCTCAACACCCCTTCAAAGGGAGAAAAATTCAAAGGGATAAAGTAACCTGATCAGAAAGAGAACTTCAGTCAGGGTTAGAACTCACGTGTGCCTCGCTCTAAACCCCCTGATCAGCAACTATACCACTCTACAATGCAGTGATCAACAGCAGACAACATAACAGGATGAGAACTGTAGATCTTATGTTAAATACTTCTATTCATACGTACTAAATTTACTGCTCTTTAGTTCACTAAGGCAGACAAATCAAGGCATAAGGAGATGGAAGAAGGAAGCGTCAGAAGGAGGGAGAGTAGCAATCCATTCTCAACATGTTACAATACTTCCATAAACATGCAGGGTGTGCACATTTTAATCCCCAAGCACCGATATTTAATTTTTGTAAATCCTCTACTTCTGAATATAGGAGAAAGCAAATGTCAACTTTACCAACCAAAGCTCAACATACTTAATTCGAATTGCAAACTCTTCAGGGCAGGGGACCATATTTTATTCTTGTAAAGAACAATGCAAACATATGGTGCTAAACAGTTAGAAATACTTTTGTACCAATGCAAGCCAAAATAATTTTTTTCTAATTCAGCTTAACTCAGTTAGCATCTACATTGACCAAGAAGCATGGAGTAAACACTAAATCTCCATTAGGGATACATCCACCAGAGGTGATCTCAGAACTCTCCTCTAAACTCTGAACAAGCTAAAGGGAACACTAGTGAAAAAAATGCAGCCAAGAGACCACACAGACACAAATCAGGAACCAGACCACTCTTGCACCTAACTCAGACTATAAGTCCATACTCTCCTGCAGTGCAAAGAGATCATAGAAGATTAGGGTTGGAAGAAACCTCGGGAGGTCATTCAGTCTAACCCCCTGCTCAAAGCAGGATCAACACCAATTAAATCATCCCAGCCAGAGCTCTGTCAAGCAGGGCCTTAAAACCCTCTAAGGATGGAGATTCCACCACCTCCCTAGGTAACCCATTCCAGTGCTTCACCACCCTCCTAGCGAAACAGTGCCCCCTAATATCCAACCTACACCTCCCCTACTGCAACTTGAGACCACTGCTCCCTGTTCTGTCATCTGCCACCACTGAGAACAGCTGAACTCCATCCTCTTTGGAACCCCTCTTCAGGTACTTGAAGGGTACTATCAAATCCCCCCCACACTCTTCTCTTCTGCAGACTAAACAAGCCCAGTTCCCTCAGCCTCTCCTGGTAAGTCACATTCCCTAGCCCTTAATCATTTTTGTTGCCCTCTGCTGGACTCTCTCCAGTTTGTCCACATCCTTTCTGTAGTTCTGAGGGGCCCAAAACTGGACACAATACTCCAGATATGGCCTCACCAGTGCCGAATAGAGGGGAATAATCACTTCCCTCGATCTGCTGGCAACGCTCCTCCTAATGCAGCCCAATATGCCATTAGCTTTCTTGGCAACAAGGACACACTGTTGACTCATATCCAGCCTCTCGTCCACTGTAATCCCCAGGTCCTTTTTTGCAGAACTGTCGCTTAGCCATTCGGTCCCCAGCCTGTAGCAGTGCATGGGATTCTTCCTTCCTAAGAGCAGGAATCTGCACTTGTCCTTGTTGAACCTCATCAGATTTCTTTTGGCCCAATCCTCCAATTCGTCTAGGTCACTCTGGACCCTATCCATACCCTCCAGCGTATCTACCTCTCCCTCCAGCTTAGTGTCATCCACAAACTTGTTGAGGGTGCAATCCATCCCATCGTCCAGATCATTAATGAAGATGTTGAACAAAACCGGCCCCAGGACCGACCCCTGAGGCACTCCGCTTGATACCGGTTGCCAACTAGACATTGAGCCATTGATCACTACCCGTTGAGCCCGACAATCTAGACAGCTTTCTATCCACCTTCTAGTCCATTCATCCAATCCATACTTCTTTAACTTGCTGGCAAGAATATGGTGGGAGACCATATCAAAAGCTTTGCTAAAGTCAAGATATATCCCATCCACCACTTTCCCCATATCCACAGAGCTGGTCATCTCATTATAGAAGGCCATCAGGCTGGTCAGGCATGACTCGCCCTTGGTGAATCCATGCTGACTAGTCCTGATTACCTTCCTCTCCTCCGAGTGCTTCAAAATGGATTCCTTGAGGACCTGCTCCATGATTTTTCCAGGGACTGAGGTGAGACTAACCGGTCTATAGATCCCCAGATTCTCCTTCTCTTTTTTAAAGATGGGCACCATGTTTGCCTTTTTCCAATTGTGCGGGATCTCCCCCCGTCGCCATGAGTTTTCAAATATAATGGCCAATGGCTCTGCAATCACATCAGCCAACTCCCTCAGCACCCTTGGATTCATTAATCTGGACCCATGGACTTGTGCATGTCTAGCTTTTCTAAATAGTACTTAACCTGTTCTTTCACCACTGAGAGCTGCTCACTTTCTCCCCATACTGTGCTGCCCAGCGGAGCAGTCTGAGAGCCGACCTTGTCTGTGAAGACTGAGGCAAAAAAAGCATTGAGTACTTCAGCTTTTTCCACATTATCTGTCACTAGGTTGCCTCCCCCATTCAGTAAGGGTTCCACACTTTCCCTGATCATCTTGTTGCTAACATACCTGTAGAAATCTTTCTTGTTACCCTTCACATCCCTTGCTAGCTGCAACGCCAATTGTGCTTTGGCCTGCCTGATTATACCCCTGCATGCTCAAGCAATATTTTTATACTCCTCTCTAGTCATCTGTCCAAGTTTCCACTTCTTGTAAGCTTCCTTTTTGTGTTTAAGCTCACCAAAGATCCTGCCTTGTGTGTACCTAATGCATTTGGAAGAAAGACATTCTCTTCCTTCAATAGGACAGGGAAATACTGGAATCTTCAATTACTGCCACAGTCCTGGATGACTGCGACTCAGTAACCAATACTACTGGTTCACTCAGACTGCACATTACCTTATATCAAGTACAGAAGGAGCAACGGGATGACTTACCATTCTGCTGCACTTGGTATCCTGACTGGGAAGGATGTGTGAGAGGAGGTGGTCCCTGGAGGCCCGTCATTGCAGGCCCAGACATGGCTGGATGAGGTGGTGGTGAGGACACATGATTAGGCTGGGATGTTGGTAATCCAGTTAGAGCATGTCCAGGCAACTGTGAGCCTTGCATTGTTGAAGGTCTTGGGGCCCCAGTGGTAGGAGGGTAACTGGAAGGTCCAATCCCTGTGGAGCAGGGAGGTGGGACAAAACCAGGGGCTTGAGGGAGGCGCTGGGCTGACAGTGGCGGACCAGAAAAAGCAGGTTGTGCCAGGGAAAGACCCTGAGACAGGCTGGTAGGAGGTAATACATGGGTCATGGTAACAGGAGGGGGTCCTTGGCTTGGAGAGTAAGATGTGTAGAGACCAGATCCTGTCACAGTAAAGCTTCCTGAGGCTGGAGGAACTGATGTTGGGGGACCTGACGAGCAGAAAAGTTATTGCCATTATTTGCTTTCACACAAACAAAAACCACCTGAGTTAAGAGAGCACAAACAAAATCCATGCCCTCTAACCTACCTTGATCTCTACCTTAAATCCAGACAAAACCCCGCAATGAAAGCCCTTCTGAAACTGGAGTCGCAGAGGCTGAGGAAGATGAAGTTCCTAAAGAGGTCCTGAATCATGATCACTCCCCCTCCCCGAAAAGGATCTTTGATTCCAGGAACATTTGTAATTCATTTCATGCTGTTTAACATTGTGAGTCTTTTCATTAACGTGAAGGCCATTATGCAGTGGCCAAGGCCAGATTGAAAAGCTACAGTGAACTTTATCTCCTACCATTGATCCTTCTCCTTGTAAGGCTATGTTTACATAACGGGCCTTACAGCTGTAAAGTCTCCCATGTAGCCGTTCTTTGCCAGCAGGAGAAAGCTCTCCTACCAGCATAATTAAACCACTCCTAACAAGTGGTGTTAGCTATGTCAGCAGGAGAGCCTCTCCTGCTGACACAGTATTATCCACACCAGTACTTTTGTTGGTGAAACTTATGTCGGTCGCGGAGTGTTTTTTTCAAAGCCTGACCGACAAAAGTGCTAGTGTACATGAAGCCTAACAATGCAAGACAGACGATAGCCTTAATGCAAATTTCCTGTCTTTTTTCTGTGTACCAAAATATGTTACTATCTAAAGGTAATTACACCATACTATTTATAGTGGGAAATTTGAGAAAGATATTTCCTTAAGTGTGTACAGTAGAATTTGTATACTTAAATCCCACTTGTTTTTCTCCTAACAATATGAAGTGTGATTACGCTATATTACAGAATAGGCTTAGCAAAATTAAGTGTGTTAACTAAAACAATTCAAGTGCAATAAAAATGTTTACACGCAGAGAAGACCTAGTTTTACTGCAATCTCCAACCTTCTGTATAAAGGCAATGTCTTGCCAACTACAGGAATGACAACAGAAAAAAGAGTGCCTGGCTTCAACGTTTTCTGCTGTAGAAGTCTTCTGATGTCAATTTAGTTTACAAAGCCCCATGAAACCCTTCAGTGCAGGACAATACAGTCTTTCATCCACTTATTGTTCACACAAGTTCAGCACTTTGTCCCTTTGGTAGCTCCAACAGGCTTTTCCCCCCCTCCTTTTTTAGACCAGGCTCCTGCCCAGCATCAAAGTATGTAGAATCTGCAACACCTGGCTGAGAAAATGGTCTATTTCTGCAGTTCACATCCAGCTAGTGCAGCTGAACAGTAGAACCAGTTACACTTTTCTTCCTCGGTTCCTGCAATCTGTTCCCAGGATCACCATATGTAACAGGCTCAGTGCTAAGCTTTCTCAAGTAACTGCCTATGACTATAAGATCTACCTGTATACTACCATGACACAATGTCCAGAAAACACTATCTCTTACTGGAAGAGGGTCACTGCCATATGAAAATGGCTCCACTACCAAAATACGAACACAGAAAGAAAGCAATTATACATACACAACCCTGTGTGCCATAACAACTCACCATAGCCCAGTCCAGCTGGGGGAGGAGCCGAGGCTGAACTGCCTATCTGCATTCCTGCCATGTGATTGGTCAGTTGCTGCGCGCTGGTTGGGGGAGAGCCATATTGCTGGAAGGTAGCTGGTTGGCTAACAGCTGTGGGTCCAGTGCCTGGTATGAATGGCTGAGATGCAGAGGGCCTGTGAGGGGAGAGAAGGAAAGAATACAAATGTTATTAAGAGTGCCCTGTTATGTGAGGAATTACAGTTTTCCATGCTTTACAAACCACTTGAGTGTTCCACCACACCTTCTTGGTTTCAAGTTCTCACAAAACCCAAGAATTAAGCAGTACATGAAGTCTGAAACACAATCACAGTTTCTGCACATCTTTCAATATTCTGTAACACTTCTGCTATCAGAAATCCTGTGTTTCTTACAATATAAATACTCTTATAGATTCACCTCACCAAACACTGTGCTTTTGTTTTTTCCCATGTTAGGCACAGCACTGTCCTAGAAGTACTGCTGCAATCTACTGGCATAGTAGCAGTGCTTTGCATTGCCAAGTGGGAGACCTACCTTGTACTTCTCAGTCTCACCCCACAGTTAGTTTGAGGCTGGAAGAGCTGTCAAGCTAGGATGGGTCAGCCATTTTGGAGAGCGAGTGGGAAAAGGAAGTGCTTAAGTGTCAATCAATGGAGACTATTACAGCCAATTAAAAGAAATGCTGTCTGACTCCAAAAATGATCTATGCCCAGCCATCCTCTAAAACCTACTGGCATGACAGGGGGGCCCTTGGATGGAGAATCCTCAGAGTTCCAAAGGAACACAAAGAAGCCAGAAGGGCATCGCATAGAGCACCATGCCCCCCCCAGGGGCCACAGGGGCACATTGTCTCCTTCCAGGAGCGGCATGGGGCCACAACAAGCAGGGAGCCTGCCTTAGCCTTGCTACGCCACAGACCAGGAGCCACCCATAATAAGTGCCGCCCAGCAGGAGGCCACACCCCAACCCCCAGCGTCCTCCTGAAGCCAGCACCCAAACCCCTGCTGTGCCGCGTGCCCCAAGCCCCAGCCCTGAGCCCCCTCCCAGAGCCAGCAGCCCCCTCCCACACTGCAAACCCCTCTGCCCCAGCCCAGAGCCTGCACCCCTCCCTCTACCCCAGCCCGGTGAAAGTGAGGGAGGATGGGTGGAGGAGAGCGAGGGGGAGGGGGCAGGAAATGGAGTGAGCAGGGCTTCAGGGAAGGGGCGGGGTAGATCCTGGGTTGCCCTTAAATTCAAAAAGTGATCTTGGGCATAAAAAGGTTGGAGACTACTGTTTTAATAAAATAAGGGGGGGGGGCGCTGGGGGGAAGAGAAGAGGAGTTACGCCCTAAGCTCAGTGACTCAAATTTGGTTTGTTCAAAGTTTGGACTCCTTCCTACTCACCTGTATTTTAAGCATATGAAATTCTGTAAATATGGTCTGCACCCAGGTGTCAATGTTCTCACCTAAAAAACCCAAAGACAACAGCCCTGCACTCATGAGCAACCCTGACATAGGTAACAAGAACAGAATGTTTCAGGAAGTAACATTACAGTTGCAAGCTCATGAGATATTCTATAGGAATAAAAAAATTTTTCTTTTTAAAAAAAGGTTTCTAGCCTGATTTTCAAAGTGGCTGAGAACTCCCCGGCCACACTGATGCCAAAGAAACTGGGAATGCTCAGAACCTCTGAGAAGTCTGCTCATTGAGTTTCACTGATGTTTTGGTTGTATTCCTTTCCCTTTACATTGTTTCACAAGTGGCAGTAAGACAAAAAAAATCTGAAGCCACTTCAAAACCTCTTTGCTACCTAAAGCACAAGTTAAGAGACCATAAGTATTTTTGCCCTTCTTTGGAGGGTGGGGGGTGAGGGAAAGGTGTGGGGGAGGGTAGGAAAGTAGTACGGTGCTCTAGTAGCTTGATAGATTTAAGGTGTCTGAAGCCTTTCCTATGACTTCCTCTTCTCATAAGTACCTTTGCATCTGGACTGCTGAAGTTGCAATCCCATTCTGCACATCTCCTTGCCCAAACTGACTATACACTGGCTGGCCAGCAGGAACAGGTGCTCCAGAGGTTGGTGGAGGCGCTCTTAATGTACCTAGGGATACACAGAGAAATATTAATTGCATAGATTACCTCATAGAAATCTACCAGCACTGACCAGGTACCCACAAAACTAAGGGAAACAAGAGGAGATTAATGATTTGTGAACAAAAGGTGGCATCTACACTGACCTTTCACCATTGCTGAAGCATCAGTGCAGCTCCATTCATAGCAACAGTGAAAGACCTAGCATGAACAGGATGCCAGCACTTTTCGCCACAGTGTTGTCTACCCCAACTCAGAAAAGGTTTAGATGATATTTGGTTAAGTCTCAGCGGTGGAAGTTCACCAATGGTAGCATTGCCCAAAGAGTCAACTAAAGACAAGGCCCAAATGTCCATCATCCTTTCAGTAACAGTGGCGTGACCACCTTTATGCTAGTGGATAAATTATTTTCAAACCTAAGGAAGGGAAGTGGTCAGGTGGGACCTTATGTCAACATTGGGTCACTTTCCCTGTACACACTGGCAGATGAAAAGCATTTGCTGAAACCATTTATAAAATTGTTTCCTGGCACTATATTTTCTGTAATATAACTAGGAACAACATGTCCAAACTGAATGTTAGTAGTTAATAGACTTAGTTTCATTGCAGAATTATGTCCACACTGCAACTGAAGCAGTTTGATCTAACAAATGTAAGTTTAAGTTTGTCTTTCCTATCAGTCCCTCAACACACAGGGCAATGCCAAAGACATGCTTGCAGTGTCTACTTCCAAAATAGAACACACAAGCATAGGTTTAGTATGATGACGTTGACAAACATACTTATGGATACTCAGTAGCACAATCAAGACAACTATCCACAAAAAATGTGTATGCATTTGTATTATACATATGACTAGATGCAGATGACTTAAAACACTGAAATTACTAGATCAGATCAGACCACTGGTGGTATCCTGACAGTGGCCAGTAACAGATATTTCATAGTATGCTGCTAGTATCCCCATAATGGAGTTATGAAATAAACTGCCATAGGGGAAGCTATTTCTCAATCCCAGGAAGTTGGTTTTTGCACACAATCGAGAGGGGCTTATACTCATACATTTTATTCTGCCTATGTAAACATAGTCTTATTTTAATTTACTATGCACCTGGCCTCAGAGATAGCATGCAATAAGTTCTATGAGCTAATTATGCCTTATGTGAATAAGTTTTTCCCTTTATAAGTTTTAAAGGAGTTGCCAAAATCTCACTGAATGCCCTATTTGCCTTGCCTCAATACCAAGAACAAAGGGACATTTACATCTTTCTATACCATTTGTTTTTTAATATACCTCCAGTAAGTCATATCTCATTTGTCTCCTCTTTAAACTAAACAGTCCTAACACTTTTTAATCTTTTCTTCCTGTACAGAAGTCCCTCCAGGCCTCTAATCGTCTGAGTTGCTCATTTGAGCCCCTTCTATTTCTGCTATATCTTTTTTTTGAGATGGGTGACTATTTGCACTTAATTTCATTTAAGAAACTAAGGCATTTTTGGGGTCTCCTTCCCATAATGAAACAGTCTCCTTGCAAAACAGTTAGGAATTGTGGGATACAACCTTACTGTGGGTCTAACCCATGAATCTGAAAAGCATATCTAGACTGATTCCTAGAAGGGGATAGTGGGACTGTTTTAATGTTAGCATAGTTTAAAATGCATAAACACGTGAAATGAAGTTTTCAAAGGTGATTTAACTTTGTTGACAGAACTCAGACTCTTGCAAATACATCAATGCTAGTTATGAATGCATTTCTTTGTTTCCTTGCAATTGCTCCAAGAAATCACTGGAAATATTCATTTTAAAATTGTAGTTGGTCAGTATTATCAGGAAATATTAGTGTCACTGCTAAAGCCCCTCTGTTCACCTTTATCCTCAGCTGAAGACATTTCCCTTTTGCAACATAGACCCCATTGGGGCATTTCATTTACCAGCTGCACTGTCCTGAGATAAAAGATACTGCGACAAAAATCTCAATCTCTCTTCATAGTGAAATTGTTTTAGTGGGTTCACCCAAATTTTGACCTCATAGTGCCCTAAACTAACAGGACAGACAATCGAACATAGCTGTAGTTAGGTTTAAATCAGGCAATCATCAGGAATTTCTACTAAGATTCTTTCTTTATACCCTGTATGTGTTTCTGGAGGGCTGCCAGGGAGAAGAACAGGGACAATACCATCAACCTGCAACTGGGTAGCAAAGTGCACGTTCACCACTTCCTCAAAACAAAAGGATCAGATCAAATGTGGATGTAACAGATTTCACAAAGACTCTTAGCAGAGAAACTGTTTTTTGCTGAATGGACAGCAGGACAGCAACATCACAAACACTCCCACACAGAAAACTATTTACCTATGAAGTTAGGTGCAAGAGTAGGAGTATCAGAGTTGATAGAAACAGGAGAGCCCTTCGAAGGGAACCCCAAGGAAGAAAAGTAACCTGGAAAGACAAAACACAGCAGCAAGTAAAGCCTGAGAGACAGTACTCAGAGGTAAAGTAGACGCCAGCTGAAGTCAGTTTGCTTTAGAGCAGAGAAACCCATGGAGACAGAGCCATGCTACATTTGTTATACCCCACAAATCCCGAAATATTCCCTATACTCTGCTTGCTACTCCATATTACTATGCCATTGTCTAGAAAACGTACTACCAATGGGCAACACCTAACCACTGTAGATAGTGCAAGCTTAACAAGTATTGAGCCTGGTCAACATCCAGTACTCCAGCAGCAACATGGCATTCAGAGAACTCTGTAGGACTGCTTTTCCCACGAAAAACCTTGTCAGAAAAGCAACTATATCCTATGAAACATTCATACAAGCTCAGCCCATGGCAGGTTTATTCCACATTTCACTAACAAGAACTAGCTATTGCTCAGTCAATAGTGTGACGTCATGTCTTTATCCCACTTACAGTGAAAACTAATGGCATGGCACCTCTTCTACTCTGCTACTAACTGGGACTATCGCTACCATAAAAGTCAGATCAGAAAATGGGATTTCTCCTCTAAAAGCATGGCATAGCAGCCACCTTTTTTAGATCCCTCTCCACTGTTTTTTAAATGTCGTCCCAACTGCAATTCTAAAGTTACATGGTGCTAAATTTCTGCCAGCCCCTTACGATTCTGGTCTGAACTATGGCCTCTACATCATACAGAGCAAATGAATCCTACCACCATTATGTGAGATACACCTTTGTAAGTGGTAGGGAGGAGAAGAGATGGCCAGACAGCTGGCCGAAAAAAGGAAGAACAAAAGAAGGAAGTTGGCCAGCTCCAGAAGGTGATGCAAGCAGCAGAGCAAGGGAGAAGTTGCTCCACCCCACCTCCTGAATCCTTTTAAAGTTGCCTGCATTTAAAGTAATATATATGGCTGCACATTTATCAAGTCCCTGCATGTTTATCAGACAATACCAAGAAAAAAAATTGATGAAGTACTTAACCCTTAGCTGAAATTTAGGAATATATGTCAGTAGTCTCATGTCCCTCAGACTAAGGCTCCGTTCATCTAATTTAAATTCACTATAACTTCATCTGTCCTCCCCTGATGCTGGGTTGCTTGTCTCCCTCCATTTCCCTCCCATATCTGGCAGTCATAAGAACAAATGTCCACTTCTGGCGGTTATGTTAATACTCAGAGCATCCTACATTTCTTTTCTCCTCCTCCCCAGTCATATACAAGCTTTTTAAAAGAGCTAGTCAATTTCATTCTGGTGAGAAGTGCTGGACTGATAGATTAAAGGCTTTGGTCCCCTGGAACTATCTGCACAAGTGGTACAGTACACGTGATCAGGTAATACAAGCATCCTCCACACCGTCCCACTAATATGCTTCCACTATAACCCGAGTGAACCACCTCTAAGCATGACATGGAAAGTAGGCCTCATGCCCCATTTAATCACTGGTTTTATCTTTATTGTAAAATGGTATTTTGCGATGTGGGCCTCTGTCCACTGGGAACAGGTCAGACCAAACTCATTGCACTTAGACCAATGAACCACCATCAGATATTGACACCTTTCAGTCACTATTGACCTGAGCTGGTTTTGTTCTGGTGATCTAGAGGCAGAAAGGTTCATATCCCATTGCCACCAATTTACTAAGGCATTCAGTATCTTAGATTTTTGTGAATAATATTTCAGCTACATCTGTAATTGAGCAGTGTTTTATTGCTAGTGCAACCAAAACAGAACTCAGAGGAAAGAGGTAAAAATAAACAGCCACTGGTCGTGAAAAGAGAAGTATTTTCAAGCCTTACAATCACTGTAGTATCAAAGGTTTCAGAGTAGCAGCCATGTTAGTCTGTATTCACAAAAAGAAAAGGAGTATTTGTGGCACCTTAGAGACTAACCAATTTATTTGAGCATAAGCTTTCGTGAGCTACAGCTCACTTCATCGGATGCTGTAGCTCATGAAAGCTTATGCTCAAATAAATTGGTTAGTCTCTAAGGTGCCACAAATCCTCCTTTTCTTTTTATAGTATCAAACAGGAAGCCACTTGGCAGTTTCATTTCATAGACATCAAAAGGAGTGAACAGAGAATATGTTATCTTCCCCCCAACCTGAGAACTAACTTCCAGACACTGATTACAGTAAAAAGACAAACATTAAACTTTCCATAGTGGTCCCTAATGAAAATCTGAACTACTCTCACCTTAGTAGAAGTGATTCAATCATGCACACCATGTGTTACACTATTAAAAGGTGAAGGACTGAAGGTGGTCAGTGGTTGATATCATATGAGGTGCCTATGCCCAGAGTGACAGAATTTTAGCCCTAGGAGTCCAACTCTTTACAGGCATTAAAAGGTAATGTTTTCAAATTGTTTTATGAAAAGCAAATTAAAAACATTAAAATTAAGCCTCTTTTCTTATTCAGTTTCTTCTGCTCTACCATACTATATAGCAGAGTTGCTCTTTAGTTGCCTACCTGCTGACACTGAATTATTTTGTTACAACAGCATTTGTTTTGAAGATGGAGAAAAACATTAGATCTGCCTTGCAAATAGATGCAAAATAAAAGCAGATCTAATTTTGATGATCACTGACAGTATCCATTTAAATTGGTAATATCTATTTATTAGACACGTGGTGGCCACAGTAGTACCAGTCATTTCACCAACACTACCACAGAACGCATGCCCTCATCTTTCAGGAGTGAGAGTGAGCCACAGGTCTTTTCTGCAGATGAATATGGAGCTGCCTCAATCACATGGCCTGTTATCAGCCTATTACTACCCTCAATCCAACCTTAGCATGGAAACTGTCCTGTGCATTCTTGCTCCTGGACTACATGAGCGGGGAACTATAAGGTACAAGCTGCCATTGGGCCTTCTCAACACTTAATTTGTGGGCTACTAAAAAAGTTTAAGTCCTAGTGAGCTGGTCAAATGGCTTCTATGCAACCAAATGATAAGCAACACTGAGGCTGCACCACAACAAAACCCACTTTTTACCTTGACTTCTGAAGAGTTAGAATAGAGTATCGTTCATATTAAAGAGAAGTTATACCATAAAATATTCATTTAGCTAACAGTAGGCCATCAGCTCTGGAAAAGCATTCCCAATGCATTCAAACTCTCAGGCTATTAAGTTGCGAAGTCTTGATTAAGAGTACCTTGTGAAGGGGCTGGCTGCTGATATCCTGGCAGCGGACCATTATAAGCTCCATACTGAGAATGATGAACTCCAGGCATTTGCTGCCCTCCATAACCGGATTGTTGGTATCCCTGATATCCAGGCTGAGGCTGCCCATAAGGAAGCCCTGTGTGAGCTTGCTGGTTTACACTCATTGTGTTCACATCCCCAAACTGGTCTCACCTGCAAGGAGGGGAAAAAAGAACACAATTAGAAACCAATAGTCCAAACAGCATCCCTTGCTATGAAAGCAGCCGCGCGGAAGCTGGCCTGCTAGTAACTGTGAGATGCTAGAGAAGGAAATGCACTTGCCTTCAGGGTTGATAAAAATCAATGCTTTTTTTAATCTAAATTGGATTTTTTTGATAGATAAAATGTTTCGATGAAAAAACCTAAAGATAGTTTTAATTAAGATATCTTTGAGCTATAATGTATCTCATCATGGAATAGGGATTATAAATTTTAATTCGATAGTATCAGATAATATATTCATGTAATGTTTAAGAAAAGTTTTGTAAATGAGTTCCAATAGTTCATAGATTAGGGACCCAATCTTATGGGGTTGCAGGGGCTTCTGTATAGATTATTTAGATTAATCTTTCTATCTACCCAATGGGACTCAGTGCTCAGTCTAGAAGATACCATCAGAGAGGCTTAGTTTTGAAGTCCTCAAACTGTGGATTTGTGTCTCCAGAGAAAATATGCTTGTTAACAGCAAAAATGGCTAGTTTTTTTTTAATTTTTTTTAAAATATATTTCATTTAACTATTTTAGTTAAAAACAATTTTAACAAAAACAAACCTGGTTTTAAAAAACTTGAATGTTTAAATTCAAAAATTCATATGCTTGTTTTGTTAAAATATTATCTTTTCTGTTGAAGAAAAAAAATCCAGAATACATAACGTCGTCGTTTTAGTTAAATAAAACAATTTAAATGTCTCTCTGGTGATGTTCTCCTAATACAGCATGGCAAGAAAATCCTCCAAATATTAATATCCTGTTGAATTGGAGATATTTATGAAGTCATTGGGAGGTAAACTATCTGCTTCAATTACCTTTGGTAAATGAAATAAACAATCATTCATTTTCTGATACAGCTGTAAAACTAATCTGAAAAGCTTTCAAAATAAATCACTCAAAAATGTATAGTGTGTACCTTCTAAAAATGAAACCTACATCTCGGAGTTGTGAAGAATATGTCTTAAGGTTATAACAACCAATAAGAATGCACTTTTATGTAGAAATCCATGATTAAATTTAGTCTTCCTGACTAGTGATTTAAATCAATTTGATTTAAATCAAATCCACCCTGCTTGCCTTCCAGAAATTGCCTTTGGAATTACTGGGAGAAGAGAATTATTATCTACATAAAGAAAATGCTTCAAAATGGACATAAGTACCATCAACCCACAACCTGCTTCAAAACAATACTTAGCACTTCTGTAGCACTGTAGAATTAAGCCTCACATCACCAACAAGAAGAGATAGGTATCCCCCCATTTCAGATAGAGAAACTAAAGGAATACAGGTGTCATCCCAATCAATATCCTAATCAATAGCAGAAATGGAATCAGTACTCAAGAGTTCCTGGCTCCTAGCCCTGTGCTCAGTCGGTTAGATCTTGCTTCCTTGACACAAATGGATGTACACTAATTACCTCAGAGTACAAAGGATTCAGAGTCCAGAATAGGGTCAAGATGACATTTTAAAATAAACTGGACAGTAATTTAAATCCTAATTATCTCCATAATTAAATAAGAAAATAACATTTAAAATGACAAATGCTCAAGGGAGACCTGAGACTGAAGCTGAATCAATCTCAAGCTAGTAGAGGTGCATGAACAAAGTTACATGAAGGCCAGAACAGGAAGGGCAGAGAATGACCGGAATAAGAGCACGGTGCTATGATGGAATTGTGAGAGGAAGCGTGCAAAATGAAGGGACTCTTCATTCCTCGCTTTCATGCACATTAAAAATCCACTAACTTTCTTTAATACAAATACAAAGTAGGCAGCACTTCAATACTCTGGTGACAGACACAATACACAAATCAGAGCCAGACATGCTGGTGAGAGCTTGCTCCAGAGAGAGCTGGTGGACCATACAATATCAGGGTTGGAAGGGACCTCAGGAGGTCATCTAGTCCAACCCCCTGCTCAAAGAAGGACCTAATCCCCAATTTCGTGCTTGGTTCACAAACAGACAGCAGAGGATCCCCACTGTTATTTTACATTAATATACTGGTTGTGTTACCTGCTTAGATATACCATATTTGCTACAGGACCTTGTTTACAGCCTTACAGTTAAAGTTACAATGACTTAGTGTGCTGTTGTGAAAAAAATACAAGTGCCTTAAAGCCAGAAAATTCAAAGATAAGATCACACTTACATAAAAACCGTGGAAAGTAGATTTGGGTATACCAAAGAGCTTTAGCTCTGCCCCTCATATCCTTGCCATCCCATGCCCTACCTGTGTGAGGGAGTACTATCTCTGTGGTCACGGCTACACTAGGAAAAGAGATATTTTAAACACGTTTTAGCTAACATGTTAAAAATCTAGACAGATGAGGCAGATGTAATTTTAACACATTAGCTGGTTGAGGTAAACTCTAACGGGGAACGTAGGGATTACCTAAATCAGCTAACATGTTGTAACTGCAACTGTTTTGATTAGCTAACGTATATCAAAATCATAGGGTAATGTGTTTAAATACCTATTATCCTAGTGAAGACAAGGCCTATGACAGCTATCACAGCTTGCTGACATGTTAAATCCAGGGTCCCTAAACTCAACCAGGAAGCCAAGTGACTGGGGAGAGCTTAGATGCCACATGCAAAAATATTTCCTGAGAACTAACTGTAGTTCTTTGACTAGAGCATCTGTATAGATACAAATTCTTAAAGATCCACACAGACCATATCCAAAGGAGAACTGGACATTACATCTGCAGTCAAGCCATGTGCACAGTATAGTTAGCCTGATCACAATGCTGTACTAGATTTTATGTATTTGTGGCTGCTGGGAGTCCACCACTGAGAATGAACATTCCCATTTTAATGCTTGATATGATGAAAACATTAGGTAGCAATTTAAATAGGAAGTTGGCATAGGAGTTGGAAGGCATTTGGTTTGTATATGAAGTTTAAACAGTACTACTGTCATGCACCTTCCATCAAAGAAACTCAGTTCTCACTGTAACATTATATAAATCTTTCCCTCCCCCTAAAAAGACAATCCACAAAGGCAAAAAATTAGCATGTGCTTTTTTATTATTCTTCATGTTTGAAGGCAGCCTATAAGGTTTTTTTAGGGAAAAAACTGCACTTGTTTTTTGTACACTGGAAATCTGCACTAGCAACTTCTGTATCAAAACCACTTAAACAAGGATAAACATCATTCTACTACTCGCTACTAGCTACACAGAATTCCATTACATAGCTTTGATGCTAACGTGCTCACACTGTCACATCTAAACAGTGGTCATTACTGACAGTCACTAGGCTACTTCAGTTTCTTGTAAGACATCCCAATAAATGCCCCAATTAAGCAGAGTCCACTATAATAAGTTTGTGCACATTAGTATCTTCCATCCCAAACCTATAGTTTATACAGCATTGAACTGGTAAAGGCTATAGGATTCAGGGGCAGAAGACAACCAGAGTGCACAATATACAATCATGTTGCTGTGTAACAGCAGAGGAAGGAGAAATGTAGAGTGACTTGGTGCTCAAATCCCTCTCTGTTACAATTGATCATGGATTCTTTAACATCTGCACAGAGCAGACTGAAATTCAGTTTAAGTTCTCGTCTAAGAAAAATCTACATAGTAAACTGTATGAAACGGTTTTCATCAATGAGTCCCTTACACTGGTTATTGAAAAGTTTATGTATTGGTCCAGAGGAGACAAAACTATTGTCAGTTCCCTTTCAGAACTGAAAACAGACTTGGTCTCACCAGTCTTGATCACCTTTCTGAAAGGGATGAAGGGAAAGGAAATAGCAGGAATAAAAGCCCTTCTGGCACCACTTCTATAGCTCCCATTTTCAACAGGGACAAGACCTCTACTTCCAGCAGTTTCTTGTGAGATGGATCCCTGAAAAGGGAAAGGGAAGCCAAGACTGTATTTTGGCCTGGCCTTGAACTGAAGGGAGTATTCCCACTTAATCTTCAAGACCCAGCGGTCCAAAGAAATTGCTTCCAATGTCTGAAAAACTGGGACCACAGTGTTCTCCAAAAGGAAGAAGAGTGAGGATCTGGATCTTCAGAGATTGATTCAGAGGGTCTCTTGAACATTCTCAGGCACTCTGCTTTGGTGCTGCAGTACTTGTCGCTGAAAAAAAACACTGTGAAATGTTTGCCCCCTCCAAAAAGGATTCTCAGACTGCATAGGAATCAGGACTACAGAGGATTATGCCTTCTGGTCAACCATATCAAATCTGACCCCTTGTTTTCAGGGCTGGATTGACACTTACTCAGGCATTAGATATAACACTTGCGATCAAAATATCAGGCAGGCTTGGGCTAGAAAGCTAGAAAAAACTATTTAGATGCCTCTCTCAGGACCCAATATATAGAATCAAGCTTCCTAGAAACTGAAGCAGCAATGGCAGAAGGATTTCAGACTTCTCTGGCCAGTTTAAGCAAGCCCTCTGACAGACAGAACTACTTTCTCCTTCAGCGCCAAGTTGTCAAATAATATGGGACTTCCTGGTCAAAGCCATTAGTGTAATTGCCAGAGCTACAGTCTGTATGCTTCCAGAGCTATGTTCTGGAAAATCTTGGTGTCAATTAGAGGAGAAAATGAAGCAGTTAAGAGCTTCTTCAAGGGATGAGGTAGAATGGGCACTTCCTAGGACTATCCTACTAGCTCCTCAGTAAGTATCTGACTGCACATATAACTACTGATCCAGGAAAACATCAAGCAGTCCATGTAAGAACCTTCACTTTCTTTGGAGGAAACGATGTATGTGTCTTATATTCACCTCTAGCTGTAAAAATTGCAGGTGTAGGACAATAAGGCCCAAATATCTCAAGGCAGACCATGACTAGAATGTTCTCCATCTGGGTATGATTTAAAGTCTAAGGTGGCACCAGAGGATCCAAAAATGCTCACGCATGCCTGCACTAAACCACACTAGAGGAACAGAGGTGACAGAGTTAAGGAACTGGTTCTCCTCAGACCAGAGAAATCCATGATACCAATCTTTATCCCACAGAAACAGTGAAATTCACAGATTTGATAACAGCATAAGTTTGCTTCAGAACTGATGTTTCCATGGTGCCAATTGCTCATCTGCAGAAAAGAAAACTTTTCTGAAGAAAATCTTGAAAGAAGAGATCCGACAGATCCTGAAATTCTAGGCTTAACAGCCAGGAAGGTTCCAGGTCAGTTGACAATCCCCTCCACTAGAGCCTTGAGGTGGGGGTCGGCTCCTGTATATGTCTTGATCATATACAGATTTGACCAGCCCAGATCCATCCAAGCAACCAGCTGCATCTTTGTGGCAGTATCTCTTTTTCTTATTGGGCAGCTTATTGGAATTGCTGGAATCACAGATGGTGTTTTCTCTGTCCAAAGATTCTGACCCTAAAATCAATGGATCTTGTTACCTGTTCCTTTAGAGGCACCTTTATAAGAGGACACAACCCCTTTCAACCTGGGACTTTACACTGCAGATCCAAGGAAGGTGTAGAAAGTACCCTACTCATGTTGACACTTTTGCAGGGGACAAGGTACACCAGATTCTTGATGCATTAGGTTCTGGAGCAGAGTTTTGCCACCTTTTTATGCAGTTTTTGAGAAGGCCTTGCAGACATTATAGACTTTAGCCAAGAGCTCTTCCCTGAGGCATAAAAGGCATATTCATGCCCTTCTAAAGCAGGGATCACCACATGGCAAGTGAAGCCATCTCCAACCCTGGTTTGGTCAACTGATCCATTAACTTGGGCAAGACCCAAGACCACCTACAAATTGCAGTAATGTGACAAAAACTGTTGAAACATTCAAATAAAACTAACTTCTCAGCCTAAACCTAACTTTAACCACACAGCTATTTTTGCTATTTACAATTAGATTTTTGTTTAATGCAACAGAAAAAGGAAGAGGATGGCTCTGTGATTGATCAAGACAGAGGAGGGAGGAGAACTAAAGGACTGCTAATGGGGTCTACTTATACCCTTAATCTATGGAATGCAGGGCTCAAGAGACATGTATGGAACCCCAACTATTTCTCAGAAAGGTTCCACAGCAACTTGACTATATATATAACTACTTCACAGGTCATTCTCACATCTTACAGCCCAGGTAATTATCTGGACTTGGTTCCCTGAACTTTGTACACTTTAGTGCAGTTGATAAAAAGTTGTAATACGGTTTAAGATTTGTAGATGAGGGTAGGGTCAGGAAGAGAGGACATGCTGAAGGGTAGTTATGGATACAGAAATGTAAAATCAAAATACACAACTTACTAAAATTATACTAGCCATACCTCTAAATATTCTGCTTGTATGTTGTATCTCTTTGCTCATCCTTCATGCAGTATCTCCCCCCGGCCTCCCCGCCCAGACTATGCCTTCCTATATTTTGGCACAACACCAACCATTTTTTGAGTACTACCATAAAACACACAATAAATGATCACCTTTTGCAAGATGGGAAACTTCAAATTAATCATTCTTCTAGGCTTCCCAGTGCTTCACATCTTCTCCATGTGGCCTTTTAGACAGTGAGCTCTTCAGAACAGGGACTGTCACTATTCTGAAACTTGCTCAGCAATGAGGATATCAGCCTTAAAAATAAATTCTCAACATATAAACTCACTTCTAAAGGAGCTAGACACCGAGTTCTTTCCTTGTCTTTTCTGTGGAGGTTTTGAGGCTGACAACTTTGGTCATTCTTTGTACCCCACCCTTTCTCAGTTACCATCAACTAACTCTAGGATTACTGACTTTCCTTCGAACAACAAGAATGCTACAGAAAGAAAACAGTCCTTCAGTCAGGAAATAACCAAGTAGTACTAATGTCACAGAGGTCATGAAAGAAATAAAATAATCCTTCAGACACCTTCTTACCACTAGTGCCCAGAACACAACACATACATGGTGAAAAGCAATTGGCAGTCCATGCCAGCTCCACCACACCAATGGCAACCCCCCTTCCAAGTCAATTCCATCCTAGTACTCTGGCCATAGCAACAAACAGGTCCTTGCAGCTACAATGAATTCTAAACAGACATGTCAATACATAAATCTGCTCCTTCCTTTCTTACGTCTCCTTCCCAAAACAAAATAAGATGTACAGAATGGAATGTGTGCATTTGCATTTTCAGAACAGTTAGTAAGAAAGGACATGTTTTCCCTTATGCCACCAATGTGTATGGATGAATGAAGGAAAGTCCCCTCCCAAAGCAGTGATTCAGAGTTCCTACCCAGTATGAGGTCTCTCTCAACCCTTCAATCAAAATACCTACCGCTTCCCCCTGAAGAAAACAGACTCTGGGAGCTTGGGATTTGACTATCTACATCAGGGGTTCTCAAACTGTGGGTCACAAGGTTTTTACACGGGGGGTCATGAGCTGTCAGCTTCCACCCCAAGCCCTGCTTTGCCCCCAGCATTTATAATGGTGTTAAATATACAAGAAAGTGTTTTTAAGTTATAAGGCGGGGGGGTGGGGGGGCACACTCAGAGGCTTGCTATGTGAAAGGGGTCACAAGTACAAAAGTTTGAGAACGACTGATCTACATGGGACAATTTTGAATTACTGAGCAGTGAAGACCTACCAGAACATCCTTGGGAGAGCTCACATCATTTTTTAGGGTCCCCATAAACTGGAGCTCAACTAATAGATCCTCTCCTGGACGACAACAAAAACAGTAGATCTGGAAAGAATCTCTTTTCCAGGTAAAAATACTTTTTGTCTTGTGACTTTGAAAGCTCAGGTGCAGATGAGCCACCAATATTTCAAGCACTATGTCAATTACTTATACTCTGAGCAAGTTTAAAACAGCAGCAGCAACAAGAAGCCCATCTACATTAGGGCTTCCAATGTGGTTATCACCAGGGAAACTGGACTCCTGACTGATGTTAGCAAGAACGGGATATGTTTTTGCAAAATTTTCCTAGTGGAGACAAGATTTCTGGAGTTGTACACACTTGGGAAAACTTGTAAGAATTTTTCTGTGCCGATGCTGAAAAATATTTACAAAGCATCCTTAAGGCTGAAAGATCCCATGACAAAACCAAGTCACAGCAACCACTTCCCTGACCCAGAAACCAATTTCAAGGAAGTGAAAGACAAGTGCATCTTAGCAACACAATGCAACCAGATTCCAAGCCCCATTTAAGAAGATGATTCTCTTCATTCGACAGAATCTCCTCCTTAGAAACCACGTTAGTTTTGGTTCACACTTGTATTAGCCCTTTTCTCCCTGCTTTCCCAAAATGAGCCTAAAAAACAAACAAATAAATCCTATTCCCAGATCCGGACAGCTAGTGGGGTCTACTATACAGTACAGTGGGGTCTACTGGTTATCAGACACTTAAGAATTGTCAGGTCCCTGCGTGGGTCAATTGCCCCTCACAACCCTAAAAGGCCCAGCAGCTGAACGGTGCAAATGCAAAGTGCTGCAGCAAGAGACGTGAAGATTACAGGCGATTAAGTGTTTCCGTCTGAGCTCTTCTTGCCTTTGCGGCCGGTGAGACATTTGACAGTGAGAATGTAACAACAAGGCAGCAGCCCGAGCTGATAGGATCGGGCCCGGGCCCCGCATCCGATCGGGGAGCGGGCGGCGCCCCTTTATGCAGCACCAGCGGGGCCTGGGGCCAGCCGGTGCGAGCTCAAGAAAGGGCGAGGAGCGACGGAAGCGGCTTGGCAAGCGGGGCCCGACGTGAGCCACTGCCGGGGCGCGGCGCCAGTCAGCCGTCGGCACAGCCCCACCAGGCACTCATGGGGGCCGCCCAGGCGCAGGGAGCGAGGCCCCAGCGCCCCCCACCCAGGCAGGCCGTTCCCCACAGGGTGAAGGGCCAGTTGCCCGCAGCTGGCCCCACGGGCATGGCCCCCCCCACCCCGTGCCAGGCTCTGCCCCGAGCCCGCCCCACTCACCCGGCTGCTCCTTGCTCGACCCTCCCGGCGCTGCTGCCCCGGCTGCGCTCCGCCGCCAGGCCCCGCTTCCGGTTCCCGGGCCTGCCGCTCCCACCGGAAGTGCCCCCTCCCCGACCTGCTCTCTGCCACGTCCTCACTCGCGGCCAACCCACGGCGGCCGCGGCGCCCAACCTCGCAGAACCCGGATGTTGCGCAGGCGCCATGAGGCCGGGAGAGTCCAGGCGGCTTCCGGGTCCCTCTCACTGACATTGACGTCACACGGTTTACACACCTCTGCGTCTACTGCCTCCTGGGGGAACGCCCATGTCAATGACGTCATGGGGAAATGGAGCCAAACACAGCCACTCCTGGGGTGGGACCCATGGGTGCTACAAGCTGCTCACTCATTGGACTGCACCTATGGGGTCACCAGCCACACAGCCAATGGGGTCACTTGCCCAGTGGTAGTCATTCACCCATTGGGGTCACCTAGCCACATGTCCAATGGGGTCATTCACCAAATGGGCTACAAAAGCTGACTAGGGTCACCAGTCACTCAATCAATTTGCCACAAGAACCATGTCGTTAGTCACACATCCAATTGCAAGCTACTCATCCATTGCACCACAAGCTCAATGAGTTCACCAGCCCCAGAGCCAATGGCCTCACTCGCCCAGTGGGTCAGAAGCCTGGTGGGGTCACCACCCTCTCACTGAGTTGGCCATGAACTAACTCGGTGGGGTCACCAGCTGGTTAATAGGCCACAGCCCAGTGGTCACCACCAGTCAGTCATACAATGGATCATACAATGGACAACAAGCCCAATGGAGTTACCAGCCTCTTACCCTATGGGCCACACAAGTCCTAGTGGGGTCATGGTGGCCATAAGCTGCTAGCTGAATGGGGCCAAGGGCAGCTGGGCGCCGCTCACCCAATGAAGTGACAGCAGCCATGATCTCAAGTGGCTGTGATGGTCATGAAAACAGTCATGGCAGCCATTTTTATGGCCTCAATTATATGAAAGTTTTTGTTGCACTGATACACCTTACCAAAGAACTGTTGTGTATCCCATTATATGATCACAACACAACATGGCATTGCACCAAAACAACAAAAAGGGTGTGCTGATTTTTTGGCAGTATAATGTGTGGGTGGCACATTAAAATATCACACAAAAACACACTGTGCCAATTTCACATCAAAATGTAATTGCATTGCAAACAAGAGTCATTACATGGCAGCACAGTTTGGCATTGTTGCAGCACACAGCAACACAGTACGGCAAAATCACAGCAAAAGGTGACACAAAGTGATAGTTTTAGCAAAGTCTCATCACGCTGTGATGCAATGTGAAGCTATCATGTCAAAATGCCATCATACAGAACTGTAAAACAGTTACTATTTATTATATATTGAGAGCTAACAATGTGCTCAGTACTGTCCAGAATACAGATGAGACAAGGTCTCTGCCCCAAGAATCTTGCAGAATTAAGAAGTTCCTGCTGGAGGACTGGGGGAGATTCACATGGTACTAGAGAGAGACATAGATTGTATTTCTCCTTGTTTGTTTTCCCAGGCACTCTCAGACACGTCCTTCGTTTCATTCCTTCCCCATTCTTCATATCTCTCTAATACTGCTGGTAGTTTGGGAAAGCTGCACACATGCACATTTTCAGCCTACTCGACTCTGTCGGTCAATCCAAATATCAGCACTCTCCACTCCACCCGAAACCTATGGCCAGAGGGAGGATTTCAGCATGTGTTAAAACAAAGATCCCATCTGCACTTGGCTCCTTATTCTGATTTATGGGTGCAAACACTTGTGGGGAGGGGAAGGAGAAACGGAGGCAACATGCTGTCCTCCACACACACTTTTTAATATCCTAGTGATGTCCCTTTCAGAACGGCCACAGGTCCCCTGCATTCTCATAGCTATGTGTAGCTGTAAAGTATAAGAGAGGGAGAGACTGGAAAACGGCAACAGAAGGCTCTGGCAAGTAGATATGAGATTAAGAGGTAGCTTTTATAAGAATGGGAGAAAAATCCCAATTAGGAGTTGAGGGTGCTCACACCTTGCCAAATCACACTCCATAAGTGCTTGTAGCCGCATCAATGGTTCAGTAATCCCTTTAGAGAAAACATCCCCATTGGGCTGCTAACTGTTGTGTGCTCATAAACCTCTGTATTCTGAAAAAAACGCCATATGGACTCTGCATTTCCTGTGTTTTCAGAAGGCCCCAGCCTCCCTTGTAGGCTTATGCCGGAGCTGTCTGGGGACCCATTTGGTCCCCGGTGGAAGTCAGAGTAGCCTCAGCATTGTTCTTATTTACGATTGGGACTCTGGGCATAGATCTACACTGCAATTAAAAACTCACAGCTGGCCCATGCCAGCTGACGGGCTCACAGGGCTCAGGCTAAGGGGCTGTTTAGTTGCAGTGTAACTGTTTGGGCTCTGCAGCCTGGGCTCTAGGACCCTGCAAGGGGGGAGGCCAAGCCCTAACACCTGCACTGCAATTAAACAGCCCAAGTCAGCTCTCATGAGCCAGCCATGGGTGTCATATCCCCACAATGGAGGCTGCAAGGAAAGGTGTCACAGAGCCATTCTGTCAGCTCCATGCCAATCAGGAACCCCCCCCCCCCCACCTCAAGGGTATTCCCCAGAAGCCACGGAGAGGAGAATTAGAACCCCATATATGTGGATAATTATATATAGTGTAGTCATACCATTTAAGAGCAGGAGTAGTAGGCGTGGCTGGCTGTGGGGAGAACGCTCTGGCTGTTGTGGAATGTACAGTAAGAGGAGATCCTGCCAGGGTTCACAGATATAAGGAGAAAGTGTTTCTCCAAAAGTGATCTTATTCAAATTCCCTGAGCCAGGCGCTACAACTGAGCCTGCTGTGAGGAAATTGATCTAGTGTCATATCTCTTCCTGCAGCTGTCATTTTAATGACTTCTGAGTGCTGAGTGAACCCAGGAGTTCTTGTGGGAGTGAGAGGTAGAAATATTCATTTTAACTGAAATGCTTAAATGAAATCCTTCCAGCTTTAAGGGCGTGAGACAAAGCTCTAGAGACAGACAGGAGGTGAGCTATTTTCAGCCACACAACGGTGAGAGACCCATGGTACATGTGGAGGGGCAGAGAGGGTGAGATTGACGTGACACATGTGAGGGACAACTCTGGCCCCTTACCAAAAGCAGAATCAAATACCTAATCATAGGCAGCACAGCAGCTGAGAGTGCAGAAGAGCAGGGAGGGCTGGGCTTATCGGTCTGAACTTTCCTCTCGTGTGTCTGAGCTTGAGAGACAAAGTGAGGAGAGGGCTTTTCGGGGGACTCCAGAGGCGGTGGATTCCATTTGTGGAGATGGAAGGGGGAGCCACCACCCCATAAGAGCTGAGGTTTTGCTTTGAAAAGTGGAAGAGGTTATCAGAGAAGGAAAGAAACAAAAAGTGCTGAAGTCATGGGAGCTGAAGAGGAGGTGCTGGTCACGCTATCTGGAGGGGCCCCCTGGGGCTTCAGGCTGCAGGGGGGCTCTGAGCAGAAAAGACCCCTTCAGGTGTCAAAGGTAGGACTGGAGGATGTTAATTGTCCAGAGCAAGGCTATGCAGTTGATCCCAGATATGCTAGGAGAGTCAGGCATCTCCCACTGTCATTAAGGAATGTTCTATTAACATTGTGGATCTGAAAGGAGATCTTGGGTGGGATGGTCTGGCAGTGCCCAGGGAAGGGTGAGGGTTCTGAAATGTGTGTTATTGAGCTGGAAATAGACAGGCAACTGGCAGGCGAGGATCTCCTTTCTTCCACTGATGCCCATCACTGCTCTCTACAGCAGAACCTTGATAATCCGGACACTTTATAATCTGCACAATTCTCCTCACTTGTAAGCAAAGATATAACAGGAGCAACAGTGCAGGAGTGAGAGCTCATATTACTGAGGCTTCATGACTTGTATAATACATCCAGCGGCACATTATGAAGTGTGAAAATCATTACAACTATTTGACAATGATCAAATGAAAGGAACAAAAGCCATTTTGTGATGCAGTGTTCATGCTTTTTCTTTAGCTATATTTGTCCACTGAACTGCAGAATTCTACCATCACAATGGGTCTCAAAGCCATCAGTGCAAATTACTGGAGGTCTCCTGTATTGGCAAAAGCTATATAATTGCTTTCTAAGCTGAATGTGAGCAGCAGCTATTGGTTCAGTTTCCAAGAAACTGAGGGTAGGAGGGGGGAGGATAAAACAGGAATCAAGACAAACCTTGAATTGCATTCTTTCTGATCTGCAGTTCTCTTTTCTCTGTTCAAAGTTATCACTGAGCAGTGTTAAAGAATGACAGCTAGAAAAAAAAATCCCTCTGCTTTATTAATTCACAACTGCTGCCTTAGCCTCGACCCAAGGATATTTGAGGATGCCATGGCAGTGTCACCAGCAGCAAGGGCAGGAAGGTGCTCTAACCAGCAGCTTCTGGTTTCTTAGGAAGCCTGTCCCTGTGGAAGAGCATTGAAGAAGGGCACATTCTGTATAAGTTCAGCCAAATGGCATAGAATAGCTTAGCTTGGTCCCCAGGCACAGGTCTCTAAAATAGGGAAAGATGATGATCACCAAAGAGAGAACTTCCTCACAAACTCAGTGTGCTGTGGAGAAACAAAGCCAATACCCGTAGGCCTAGCTATCCAGAGGTTCTGTGAGAATAGGATTTTTGGCATCCCCATAAACTATGCAGAGTCTGGGGTTATTTCTGTTGCTAAATTGCATGGCACTTGGGAAGGGACTATCAATGCAGCTGGGCCTGTCACATGCAGTCAGGAAGAGAGCTGTCATTGAAGTCAGGCCTCCCCAGGTTGGATGGTATGGCATTCAGATAGTGCAGTGATGAGTGTGGCACAGAAACATAGATAGATAGGAAGGAATTGTCAGTGAACTCAGAGCTGACAAAGAAAGGAGGTCTCTGAGAAAGTGGGGTGCCAAGATGAAAATAGAAAAACATTGTATTAGCATACAAAAAATATGATTAGTGTTGTGGCTCACACAGCAGAGACTGTTTGGATGGGGAAAGGAAGGATAAAGCAGGAATGAAACAGGAACTTTGAGATGATGCTATAGATGTTATGGATATGACTGTGCTGTAGATACTAGGAAATGTTTGTGCAGATAAAGGGGGAGGCCTACAAAAAAGTCCAGTGCTGTGATCATAGGGGATTTCAGTGATCAGATACTGATTAGGAAAACCATTGTAGGAACCCTACAGCAGGATTCATACCCATGGAGATAGTATCAGATTGCTTCTATATACCAGCACACTTTGTAATGAAGTGGCAACTAGGTCAGAGACAAATCTGGGCCTAATAAGTGGAAATGAGCCAAGCATGATAAATGAATGGAGGTTACACAGGCACATAGGAATTGCCATACCGGGTCAGGCTGATGGTCAGTTCAGTCTTATATCCAATTTCTTGCAGTGGCCAATGTTGGATGCTTTATAGGAAGGTTTAAAATGGCCATAGTACATCTAATTATCTAACAGTGTACTATGGAAAAAAAACTCTCTCATCTCAGTTGGTGATCAGCTTATGCCCTGAGGTATGAGAATTGATAGTCCTTTTAACTATAAACAACTGATTATTGTGAACATCTAATTCTTTACTTGTCTGACTAAAACCTTATTTAGTTACAGTATTTGTCCCATTAATATCATGCAGCAAGAGGTTCCACACACTAATTAAACATTGCATAAGTAGTTGTGATGTTGCACTCCATATAATTTTATGAAAATATGCTAATAAGTGTGAATATAATGTAACTGGAATATGCTTCATGGAAAAGGTCTCTTGTAAGGTATCATTACAAAGTTTCAGAGTAGCAGCCGTGTTAGTCTGTATCCGCAAAAAGAAAAGGCGTACTTGTGGCACCTTAGAGACTAACAGCTGTAGCTCACGAAAGCTTATGCTAAAATAAATGTGTTAGTCTCTAAGGTGCCACAAGTACTACTTTTCTTATTACAAAGCTTATAATCTACTGAGCGTATTCATCCTATTTGTACAAATGTATCATTCTTGTGTCTGAAACTAGAAATATCAAATATTCTGAGGTCCTGTTGTAATTATGCAAAGTGTGGGCCATTAACGGTGGTTTGGAATCTTGATGGCTCCCATTAACCAGGACAATTGACTGTAGATGGCTCTGTTTTCTTGCAAGCCTTCCTGTGAGTCAGGCCAGAAAAAATGAAGGCTTGGGGGGGTCTCACAGGACATGTGACCATATCACCTGGTGCTGGAATCCATCTTAAACCTGGTGCTTTTCCATTTAGAAGGAGGGGTAGGGACCCAGAAAGACAAAAGATTCCCACCTTATGCCAAAGGTATATAAGGGGGTGGAACATAACAAAGGAGGTGGCAGTCATGATAAATCCCCTAGCTACCACCTGAGCTGGAACAAGGACTGTACCAGGGGAAAGGATTGGGCCCAGACTAGAAAGGAGTCTAGTCTGTGAAAGAAGCTTATTGAAACATCTCTGAGGGTGAGATTTCGTCTGTATTCAGTTTTCTACTGTATTAGGCTTAGACTTGGGTATTTTATTTTATTTTGCTTGATAACTTACTTTTTTCTGTCTAAAAAACAACAACAAGGAGTACTTGTGGCACCTTAGAGACTAACAAATGTATTTGGGCATAAGTCTTCATGGGCTAAAACTCACTTCATCAGATGCATGGAGTGGAAAATACAGTAGGCAGAATATATATACACAGTACATGAAAAGATGCCTTACCAAGTGGGCGGTCAGTTCTAACGAGACAATTCAAGTGGAAGTAAGCTATTGTAACCCTTCTGCCTGTCAGAGTTGGCAGCAACAAGGGCCAGGTTCAGTATCTAGCAGTTCCGTTCCAATAACACAATGCAAAACCGGCTTGAGCCCCCATCCAGTGACCTGGGACAAATATATATCACCCACTCCCCCCCGTGCACCTCTAAGAGGCAATACTTCCCCTCTCAAGCACAGAGTCTGAGTGTAGCAAAAGCCTTTTAATAACAGAGAGAAACAATGTGGCCTTATGTTGGGGAAACACCACCAACAGGATTCATAACACAACCCATGAACAAAAACCCACCCTAAGCAAATTGAGTCGTGTCCTTTCCCTTTGGTTCTTGAGTCCAGCAACCCAAAAGTCACCCAAAGTCCCAAAAGTCCAACAACCCCAAAGTCCAGCAACCCAAAAGTCTCAGTCTCTGTCCTTGGTGAGTCCAGAGTTCAAAAGTTCATCTGCAGAGTTTTAAACCCTCCGCCCCCACCAGTCTATGTGGAAATGGGGGGGAGGAGTAAAGGGGCGCCTTACATGCTCTGACAGCTGACTGCCCCGCCTCTCCATGAGTTTCTGCTACAGCTTTCACCACCAGCCGCTCCTCTCCACCAGCTGCTCCTCCCCAGTAGCCATCAAGCAAGCTGCTCACCAATATATCTTCAGGCCCCCTACTACTTAACACAGTGCTCAGTGATTTCAGCTCATAGTAGAGAAACCCCAGTGCTGGTGTATCATTAGCCCAAAGTGAATTCAGCTCTGCAATCTATAACCAGACTCCTAGTAGAATCAAAATTAGCTCTGCTATTACACAGTGGAGAAAGGAGGTACAGTTAGCATTTAGGGCCCTCAGAAGGGACCCATACCACAAAGTATAAAGACCTATCCCCAACCTCTCTCTAGTCACTGAGTTTTGGAACCCAGGTCCCTTGCCTAGCGAGTGCTACTTAGTTGATGGTGAGTCCCTCCATCATAACAAAAAGCCAAGTACAGTTCCACTGTCCACATAATTGATTCACATAATTAGGATAATAACACATATTGATTCACATAATTAGGATAATAACACTTTATTCTTCCTGCCCCAATAACAGATAAACTGGGGATCCCACAGCAGCCAAAGTGACCATCTAGGCTGGGTGGGTGTGCCTATGCAAATGAGATCAGCCCCTGAAGTTCTTTTCCACAACCCACCACAACTCACCACCAGATGTCAGCGTCATCCTGACTCTGCTTATACTATTATCAATAGGAGGAAAAATCACTTTTGCAGTGGTAATCAGGGTGGCCCATTTCAAACAGTTGACAAGAAGGTATGAGTAACGTAGGGGGAAATTAGCATGGGGAAATTAATTTTTAGTTTTTGTAGTGACCCATCCACTCCCAGTCTTTATTTAGGCCTAATTTGATGGTGTCCAGTTTGCAAATTAATTCCAGTTCTAAAGTTTCTTGTTGGAGTCTGTTTTTGAAGGTTTTTTGTTGAAGAATTGCCACTTTTAAATCTGTTATTGAGTGTCTAGGGAGATTGAAATGTCCTCCTTCTGGTTTTTGAATGTTATAATTCTTGACCTCTGATTTGTGTCCATTTATTCTTTTGTGTACATGGCAGAGGGGCATTGCTGGCACACGATGGCATATATCACATTGGTAGATGTGCAGGTGCATGAGCCCCTGATGGTGTGGCTGATGTGGTTAGGTCCTATGATGGTGTCCTCTGAATAGATATGTGGACAGAGTTGGCAATGGGGTTTGTTGTAGGGATAGG